GACCAGACCCTGACAAACCACAATACAACATGCACCTCGCGGCTAAATCTGGATCATGCGCGGCCACCCCGCCATTACTGTCAAGTAATGTTTGACAGGGACGGCGGGGGTGGTGGCGTATGACCTGCTGTGCGCATGCCCACCAGGCACCATCTTTGTATTGGCTTTCAAGAAGGATGGTAGGGGCCAACATGTTTCCAGATGTGCGCTGACACACCCTGCACGTGCCCCGAACGTGGCTCACCTGGCGCGGCTGGAGTACGCACACCTGGCGCACGCGGAGGCGCGTGGCGCATCTGGCGCACCAGGCGTGCCTGGCACGCTCGGGCCCCAGGGGTGCCTGACGCGCGTGGCGCGCCTGGCACGCGTGACGCACCTCGTCCCAGCGTCGCGCACATGGGATCGGTTCCGGCTCCCAGCAGCTGCCCATCCAAATACGACCGCTGAACATGCGCAGGATCGGGCGGTACTTCTGAGTTGGGAGGGCGGGTGGGAGTGAGCTAGACGGCCTGCTATCTAGGAGGGTGTGTTGACCCCTCCCCCACCACCTCCCCTGGACCTTGACGGGGAGCCCCATGAGGTGTTAGAGGCTACTGTTTCGCCCAAGACGGCTTCAAGAGAGCCTCAGAGAACTCAAGATGATCTCCAAGATGGCTCAAGATAGCCTAAGATGCCTCAGTCTGGCTCTTAAGATGCTTCAAGAAAGGCTCCACGATGCCTCCGAGATTTCCGAGGGGGGCCCAATAGGCTAAAATCGCTTAATAATATCCGCCGGCCCCGTTGTGGGGCCACCAGGCTGTAGGCGCGGGATTCGCAGTTTCCTGTACCAGTTGTAGCTTGTGGTTTCCAGTATTACAGTTCTGCTTCTTGCTGGTTACTGTAACTAGTTGATTGACCGCGCGAGGGGGGGGAGGCCCAAACCAGATATTTAGCACCCCCTGGGCGCGTTGTCTGAATTGCTGGGGGGGGCTCGAAATCGACACCCCTCACACAGATCGGCGGGGTCAGGGTCCAAAAACACAAGGGATTTGCCACATTTCTGAAATTCGGTGCCACCCCTCACGCAGATCCGGGTCAGGGTCCAAAAACATAGAAATTTGCCACATTTCTGAAATTCGGTGCCACCCCTCACGCAGATGCGCGGGGTCAGGGTCCAAAAACATAGAAATTTGCCACATTTCTGAAATTCGGTGCCACCCCTCACGCAGATCCGCGGGGTCAGGGTCTAAAAACACATTGGATTTGCCACATTTCTGAAATTCGGTGCCACCTCTCACACAGATCCGCGGGGTCAGGGTCCAAAAACACAAGGGATTTGCCACATTTCTGAAATTCGGTGTCACCCCTCAAGCAGATCCGCGGGGTCAGGGTCCCAAAACACATGGGATTTGCAACATTTCTGAAATTCGGTGCACCCCTCACGCAGATCCGCGAGGTCAGGGTCAAAAAACACAAGGGATTTGCCACATTTCTGAAATTCGGTGCCACCCCTCACGCAGATCAGCGAGGTCAGGGTACAAAAACATAGAAATTTGCCACATTTCTGAAATTCGGTGCCACCCCTCACGCAGATCCGCGGGGTCAGGGTCTAAAAACACAGGGGATTTGCCACATTTCTGAAATTCGGCGCCACCCCTTACGCAGATCCGCGGGGTCAGGGTCCAAAAACACAGGGGATTTGCACATTTCTGAAATTCGGTGCCACCCTTCACGCACATCCATCGCAAGGCGTGGTAACCCAAACTGCGAGAACTCCCTCGGCCCTTTAATCGCAAGGTGTGGTAACCAAGCCCGTAAACCATACACGTCTTACCAATCGCCAGGTGTGGTAACCCCTCTTGTGATCAGTTGGTTTTGCTGATTGCGAATCGGCTTCGCATGAAGTTTCGATACTGCTTCACGACAGCGCCAAGGCCTCAGGACTTAGCTCTTCCATGGCCCATTCTCCGAGAGAGGGGGCCGGCGGCAGGGGGCGAAGCCCTTACGGATAAAATTCAATACTTTGTGTTTTCTTGCTTTTTTGCTTGCGATGGCCTTCCGAGGCATCAAGACAGCTCCAAAAGGGCCCCAAAGGGCCCCAAGACAGGCCGGATAGAACTCCAAGGCGGCCCCAAGAGCGCCCAAGAGCGCGTCAAAACGCGATTTTAAGCATACCAGAGGGGCAATGCTAATTCAGTACCAGCCCTTTTTGGAGCGATCTCCCCCAAGATGGCCCCAAAAACGCCTCCAAGGCCTCCAACAGCGCCCCAAGAGGGCCCCAAGACCCAAGACGGCCCCAAGAGTGCCCAAGAGTGTCCCAAAAGCGCTCCAAGAGGGACTCTTCCTCTGTGTGCTGCCCACTTTCCTTATCGAGACAACTCCTCTGGGCATCGTCTCTGGATGGGCTGGTGGGGTCACTTTTTAGTCAGCGGCCGCGGGCGAGCGAGCCGGCGGCGAGTCCAGTCAAAGCGGGGCAAGCAGCGACGAAACAAACTATAGCGACGGAGGGTGGCCACACCTACAGCGGCGAACCGGGCCCTCACGCAACAGCTCAGCGGCGGACCGGCGAGTGGGGGGGCAGCTGAAACTGAGTCGCACTGCCAGCGTGCAAGTACGCATAGCGTCGGGAACACCATGGGGTCTGGACACACGACGACCCGGGCCAGAGGCCGAAATTAATGCAAGGATGCAACCCCGGACAACTGCGTGAGTACCAGGGTGGCCCGAAGGACCGACGGTCAAATGATTGAATCCCGAGGCAGCAGAACACACGAGTGCGGAAAGCAGCAAAGCTGCCACGCAGCCAAAATGGCGCGGGTCACCACGGACAAGTGCGTGAAGTGGCGCCAGGTTGACCCACCACGAGCCCTGAACAGGGCCACGAGCTCGAAGTCAGCACGCCAAGGTGGCGACAGGCGGGCGAAGGCACCACGGGGAAGACCCAAGCCTGAGCCCAGGGAATCGGCACGTGGTGGGGGCGCACAACTCAGAGCGGTGAAGACGGCCGCCGGCCCCGTAGAGGGAAAGAGTAACCGCGATTTGAGCGGCAAAGCGAAGGCCAGCACGGTGGGGGGCGACACCGCCGACCGACGAAGAGAACGGAGGCCGAGCCGAGCGGGGGAGCGCCCCGACCCGGCGGGCCGCCCGGCAGCGCAGGATATCACGCCCCAGGGGTGGGAACATCTACAGCGGGCCGAAGGCCGATATTGGACGGGTGGACCGCGGCCCCAGCGGTTGCCCACGAATCAATACTGTCAGCGCGCCACTGCTCAAGTTCCCAAGGACGGGGGGCAACGGGGGCTGGGCAGGGAGAGGCGCCAGGGAAGGAGCACTGCCTGCGAGTCGATCGGCGGCCACGGCGGGGACTGCGGCGGCCGCGTCTAGGGCGCAACAAAAAGGGGGGGGACAGGTCGACCGCGGCCCCGGCCCCGGCCCCTCGACCATGGCCAGCAGTCCGCAGCCCCTGCCCGGAGGGCCTGAACGACGGGGGCTGGGCAGGGAGTGGCCCCATGGAAGGAGCGCTGCCTGCAAGTCGGGCGTGTGCGAGTCGCGCCCAGGGCGATGCAAGCGGGGGCCGCCGTCGGAGGTCCCCGCCCAAGCCCCTGAACAAACGCGGGTCGGAGGTCCAAACCAGGGATAGCGTGAGACCACGGCGAGCTGTGCGAGTGAGGCACCGAAACGATTGGCCGAACGGGCCCCATTTTACAGATACCGAAAATAGCGAACCGCGTTCCTTCTTGGCCTAACGGGCCCTATTTTAACTGAAGAATCGAGGGCGCAGCCTCGGCGAGCCCCTCGGACCTGAGGTCTGCGCATCGGGAGAGGAAAGCTGCGGTCGGTTGCCCCCTGGGGCGCGCATGGCCGGGCGCGTCGGGGCAGGTTCGGTTGGGTGCCCGGCGGCGCAGTCAACGCGCAGCCGTCGAAGCGCACGTGGTCAGGATGCGGCGCGGCGGGACCCAACGACGGGGTGGGGCCCTATACCATGCATGGGAGCGCTTGTCCCCTCTCCCGCCACTGCTATCGTCGCCGCCGCGCTTGCCTGCTGCCTGCCAGTCGTCGCCGTCCCAGCCCTGCGCCCATGACCATGGGTCCCAGACCCAGGGTTGGCGGGAGCTTGCGGCGCATCCCCTGCACTGCGGGGCGCTGGCGCCCTGGTGTCCTGACCACTTGTCGCGCTCCCGATCCCATTTGACCTGGAGCCCGAGTTTGCGATCCATCACGTAGGCGTCGTACCCGCAGCGCGTCCAGGCGTCGAGGAAAGCGCTGCGCGTGCTCTCGGGGTTCAGTGCGGGGTCACTCTCTGGGCCGTTGGCAGCAGGGTGCTTGCGGGCATAGGCGTGCCAGACGCTGCTGAACGCTCCCCCGAGGGTCTTTTGGAGACGGGAGATCTTGGTTGAGGGTGCCTCCGCAAACATGTCGAGATCGACGTTGCCCAGCCGTTCCTCGCACATGGGGCCCCCGCCGACGGGGTCGACGAGGCCGTCAAACGCCCGCTTGGAAACCCATTCCTGGGGGTTGGCGGGCGGCGGTTTCGAGCTGGCAGGTAGGGGCGGGGCCCGGGGGTCTGGGGCGGGCGCTCAGCAGCTGCCTGGCTGGGAGTAGCGGTCGCGCCACCCCGGGGGGGGGGAGGAGCGGCTGTCGGACGCTGCCGCTGGGGCGCTGCTGTTCGCCGGCTTGCAAGCAGGTGAGGGATGCCGCTGCGGGAGGTCGCGTGTCGCCATGGGCGGTGGGCTGGCACTGGTCTTGCCCCGCGGCCGGCGTCGCTCTGGCGGGCCCTCGCTGAGGCGTCTGGCGTCGCACCCAAACGCCCCTAGCGGGTCGCAGGGAGGGCTGCTTCCAGCTTCTTCGTCTGCTGTTCCGGACGAAGGAGGAGGCGGGGAGCCCTCGCGGCCGATCGTGCAGTCTGGTGTGCCGCCAGGGGGAGGTGTGGGAGTCGGGGGGGGGCGGCTTCGCTTTTTTTCGTCGTCGTAGTCTATCCCTTCAACCTCCGCCTTGGCGGTGGGGACCTGTCGCTTCGGGGCCTGTCACCAGGTGGGCGTGGTCTGCCCGGGGCGCCGAAAGCCAAACGTCTCTGCTGGCTGCGCCGTACATGGGGGCAGCGGTGGCTTGGGGGGCGTCGCGCGCCGATCCCGCTATGCGCCCGGGGTCCGGCTGCAGCCAGGCAGTCGTGGAATCCCCCGGAGGCCGGGCGTTGGCTTCGCAAGCGCATGGGGCCGAGGGGCCCTGCTCCGCCAAGGTAGCGATGAAGGTGTTCGCGAGAGTGCTCAAGTTCAGGCTGGCACTGAAGCCGGCGAGGACGGCGAGGTCGCGGCGGAAGGGGCTCTGCCCCCTGGTGGAAGCAGCGCCCCGGAGGAAAGTCGTCCAAGCAAGTCGATGCGTGGGACTGTAGCAGGTGCCCGACTACCCTGGCCGCAGCCCACCTCTTGCCTCCCCAAGCGGCGCCAACAGGGAGTCCGCTGTCGGGGACCTCCGGGCCGTGCACCTCGCGCAGGAAGGGGGCGAGCTGGCGAGCCGACCACGAGGTTTCCTGGTCGCTCGGGGCGGGAACGTCGGCGCCGTATTCCTTGACAAAGTTCATCAATTTGTCGTCCAGCGTTGGGTGGTAGTCCCGCAAGTCAGCGACCAGGGCGTGGGGGGCGGGGGGCGTCGTTCTGTTTGTTGCGCCGCCCGTGCTCGGGCACGCTTCCCTCCTCGGAAGATAGAACTGCAACGTTCCTGCGACCTACTTGGGGGGCCTTCGGGGGGCGTGACTCTGGGAGAAGAGTAAGGATCTCGGCAACCGTGCGCCGTTTCGAGCTGTCCCGAGGTCCGTCGTCACTGTTCCCTGCCTCGCGCTGCTGCGTGCCCTCTGGGGGGAGGCTGCGGGCGCAAGGGTCATAGGCATACGCGTCCGCGAACGCCTGTGTGAGGGGGCTGCCAGGTCTGGAGCAGTTTCGCTGGGGTCCGCCCGCGCTGACTGACGTGAGCGGGCTGTCGGCTGCCTCGGGAAGACGTCGCCGGAGTCGCGGTCCATGATGTGGTCCAAGGTTGCAAAGGCGACGTTCCAGATGTACACTAGGCACCTCCGGCAACGCCATGTGGCGTTCCACTTGCGCTGGACCCACGAGTGAGGCCACTGGTCCCCGCTGGGGAGGCCTGTTTGTCCCGGGCCCGAGGCCTCGGGCTCAGCCATCCAGAGGAAGCAGCAGAGCGCTGGCGCGTCCACCTTCCAGACCAGCAGAGGGCCTGAGGGGGGGGCACGCGTCGCACTTGGCGGAGTAGGAGCCTGTTTGGGAGGCGTCGTTGCCGAAACGCCCGTCCGTGATCCTAGTGGCTGGGATCGCGGCGTTCGCGGACCGGGGGACGTGTGGTCCGGCTGGGGCCATGGGGAGGTCGCCCAGACGCCTGGCCTCTCCCTCGTCGGGGTCGCGCCAGTATCCCAGGGGCTCAGGGCAGGGGGGCAGCGGGAGGGCGTGGGCGACCGGGTCCTTGTAGCCCCCCTTTCCGCCACGTTGTGCAGTCGGAGACTTCGGCTGCGACAGTCGCACCTGTTGGGCTCGGGATGCGCTGGATGTTGAGATGCGCCATCCAACAATTCTCGCGCAACCATATGAGGTTCTTCCCGTCCAGGTAGGCTTACGGCCTGTTGCTAGCCAGAAGTTCTCTGACCGAGTCGTCCCAGGTTCCGTCGGTGTACTTCAGCTTGTCAGTCTGGCATCGGTCGCAGGTGAAGGCAGCGTTCTTCTGGTCGCAATGTAGCCGGTCATCGGTGATGGTGGGGGGCGCCAAGTCGTTTTTTGAGAGGGCTGCCCCCCCCCGACATTGCCGATGGCAGCGTCAGCCCTGCTCTCTCCCAGGCCTGAATCGGACCCGGCCAGGGAAGCGTGGACGGCGCAAATTGAACACTCGTAGTCTGCGAAGGGGTCGAGGTGCGCCGGGGGGGCGATTGCCTCCAGGACCAGCATCGGGGCTTTGAGCTTGAAGTCGGCCCTTTCCATGTCTCTCCAGGTCTGGGGGCACCCCGCCTTTCTGGCTACGTCGTGATGGTGGGCGTTCGTCACCAGCTTGGAGACTTAGGAGAGTGCGTCCTCGGTCTTCCCGTGCAGGTCGGTAAAGTCGTCCACCTTGAGACTCCATGCTGCTGCGAACTTCTGACGGAACTCTAGGTGGACGTCTTGCCAGGGTACACAGGCCAAGCACGGCCTCGATGACGTCTCCCGCGCCCTCGGCGTTTGCGAAGGGCCAGAGAAAAGGCCCTGGGCTCTCTGATCATGAGCATCATGACAACCAATACGGCGCGGGCCTTCCGCGTGTCCAGGGGAGGCGGTCGTCGTCTCTCAGCCGGTCGCGCAGCTGGGGGTCTTTGTGTCCGGCGCGTAGGAGGAGCGCCAGAGTGTTCATGCCGGGGTGTGACCTGTGGCGACAACACCTGCTGGTGGACGCGCTCCATGCCTGGGGGACTTGCCCGAGAAGCCCCACGGGCGCGCACTGGCGCCCGGGCCCGCGATGTCCCTTCGACGCCGGGCGTGGTGGATGGGAGTCGGTTGTGAGAGCGCGCGCGTTGTCCTCCCAGGGGGTGGCTAAGCCCAATGCCCACGCCAGGCAGGCCCAGAACATGTTGTAGACCAGGCTACTGGCGCCCAAGCCGATGGCCACATCGTAGAGGAAGCCGAGGTGGGACCAGGCTTTCCGGTCGAGTCTGCCTGGGCCCCTGGGGGTGTCCGCCAAGGAGATCTCGCGGGGGTGGAGCCCGGAGGCCAGGTGGAGGACCACGGCGAGCGTGGGCGCCGAGAGGAGGCTGTTCACGGCGTCCAGAATGGATCGTCCCAGGCCTTCCAAATTGAATTCTGGCTCGAGCGGCGCCTCGACCCTGTCTGCAAAGCTGTTGGCCAGGGAATCGCGGGCTCGCTTTATGGCCGAGTCCAGCTCCTTCGTGGCGTCGTCTCCGTCGGCGTTGCCAGACCAGGAGACAGGGGTGGTGACCCAGGTCGCGAGGTCGTGGATCGGGTCGAACTCGGTGTCCAGTTCCAGGAGAAGGCAGTTGCCTGGGGCGCGGTTCCCCCTGAACCTGACCCAGAGGTTGGCGAGCACCCAGCATTCAGAGAGCACCCGAAGCCTTGACGAGGTGGCGCTTGCGAACATCCACCCGTCCCCGATCGCGATGACGAACCGGGTGGGCCTGGTGATCGCAACGTTGACCCTGTTGGCACGGTCGACGAAGCCCCAGTTGTGGCTCTCGTTGGACCTGGCGGTGAGGAAGATCACTATGTCGGCCTCGCCATCCTGGCTTGAGTCAATCGTGGCAAGCCTGATCGTTTCCTGAGGTGCTGGTGGGCGACGCGCCGAATCCCGGGGAAATTCACTCTGATTCCGGTCCGGTCACAATCGCGCTGGTCGACCACCTGCGGCCAGCCGAAGGTGTCGACAGGCCGGTCCTCAAGCTCGCTCGACCCAGCGCTCGATGCCGGGGGGCGGCTGCTGTCAATCCTGTGGCCATCTTCTCCCGGGCGCTTGCCGCCCTTGCTCTTGCCTTTCCCACCGCGGGGGTGTCGGATGACGCCTGTAACATCGCTTGGGCCCTGAGGCCAGCCGTCCTCCAGGATCGCTGTCTGCAGGTGGTGCCCGACGACTGGGCGCGCGGAGACCCCCTGGTCCAGGGCGGGTATGAGGGCGCGGGCGATGTCCACTGCCGGGGCTGCTTCAGGGAGGTTCGCGTAGCCGGCGTGTGTCTTGGGCGTGGCTTCCAGGGAGGGGTTGTCGTCGAGAAAAACAGAGGTGCCTGTCGTTCGGGTCGGCGGAAGTCGAATGAAGCGGAGCGAGGGTCGTCTCGAGGTCGTCTTTTCCCGACTTCGAGAGTTTGGCCAGTTCGCTCAGCCGCGCGCCGTCCAAGGGCGAGATAACGCGCCAGGGAAGACCGTTGACCTGGGGCCGGTCTGCGAGGGGTGCGAGAAGCCCGCTGGTCACGCAGTTGTTGTAGAAAGCCCAGCTCGGCCAGGCGAGGATCTGCTGGTGCATCCTGTAGCACGCCGCGAGCTGAATGACGGCTGAGTCCTGCCCCTTTAGGGCGTGCAGCAGGCGGTCGAAGATGCGACGCAAAGGCCCAGGTCGGCGGCTAACTTGGAAATGACCGCGGGGGGAAGCTGCGTGGGATCCCCTACCAGCACCAGGCGGCCACCGCTGCGCGCCAGATTGACCGGGGACATGGTGGAGTGGAGTTCAGCGGTCTGGCCTGCCTCATCTATGATCAAGAGCGCGAGCTGATTGGGGCCTCCACTTAGTGCCTCAGCCGCTTCGTGGGTGGAGACGATCACTTTCGCCCTGTTGATGAGGGCAGTGCGGAACTGCGTGAAATTCTGCGCGGAACCCTGCAGAGAGCGAGGAGCGGCCTGTGGCGCTCAGGTGGTGTCCTTCCTGGGCGAGGCAAATCAGCTGCTCGTTGACCTTCTCCATCCTGGCGAGCCGGACGAACCGGTCAGGGAAGTGGGCGTGGGAGTGTGGGAGTCAAGTGGGTTCAGACGGTGCGCCGCCGCCATGGCGAGCGCAGGTAGGTCTGCAGCGGCGTTCGACCCGGCTGCAAGCGACTGCTTGCCCGCTCATGAGTGGGCCCCCCAGATGTCCAGCGTGGCCGTGGACAGCTTGGTCTTGCTTATGCCAGGTGGGCCGTGGACGACGGTGTCGCGGTGCGCGGCGGTCGCCAGTAGGGCTCGTCTGGCGTCGGGGCTGAGACCGTGTCTGGTTGCGCCGACTTCCAGGGTGCCTGTCGAGGATCTCGTCTTGGCCCTTTGGAAGACATGGCCCACGGCCGAGGTCGCCTCGTCGTCGGTGAAGGGGTAACTTCCAAGGGAGGGGGGGCGGGGGAGGAGGGCTTGTCGGACGCGCGTAGGGCCTGAATGTCGGCGCCAGAGACAGGGATGTCGAGCGTGGCTGACGCTTTGGCCTTAAGAAAATGGCCGACCCTGCCTGTCCTCGCGACGTCGTTGGCGGTGGCCCTGTCGTCTTTGGACGCCCCGCGGAAGGCCGGAACGAAGGCGATGTTGTTGAGCGGGATCCCGAAGAGCTGCTGGGAGCTTTGTTTCAGGAAGAATCACGTTGATGGCATTGGCTTGCCTCCAGCGTTGCACCTCGGACGGGGCACGGTCGACCCTGCAGCGGGCATCGCCTTCTCTGTCCGGAGGTAGGGCCTTCGAGGTGTCTCCGTGGAAAGGGGCCGTACTTCCCATAGTTGTAGGCCACGATGCACCTATTGAGCGGATATCTGATGCCCGTTGGGACCCTCAGGCACTCGCGTTCTCGTTGCGGGAAGTTGCCTCCCAGGGCGGGTGGCCACTTGATCGCGACCGCTGCGACTTGGTCGACTGTGGGGCCCTGCGCCGATATCAGGAGGTTCTTGGCGTCCTGCGAACCTCCTTCTCCTGTCGTGCTGATGCGGTACCTGGTCGGCCACTCGAGGAGGAGGAGCTCTTTGCCCTCTCCGGCCCACAGGCTGCGCCTCAGGTCGAAGCAGTCCAGGTCGCGGCAGTCACTGTTGTGGTTGAGCTTGGTGATCTGTACTGCGAGGGCTACGTTGCCTTGCTTCGTGAGGTCGTCCCTGGTCCCGGGGTTTCCGTCGTGCGGGGTTTCCAAGGACGCACGCCCCTCGATCCAAGCGACCCGCCCCAGGGAGAGGCCGCGGTCGCGCAGGGCGAAGGGCCACTGCGACGGGAGCGGCACGGCGTCGTGAAGGTGCCCCCACGGGACTGTTGGCTGCACGCGGGCCTGGCTGAGGCTGCTGGGGAGACCGAAGATCCTCCGGACTTCGTGCGCAGCCGCGAGGGCAGGGGACGCGACCACGCTCCTGCTGCCAAGGTTGGGGGCGGGGGAGATGTCGTCTCCGTCGACAAGCCTTACTGACCGGGTGCGTGGCTGGGGCTGTCCGCTGCTGGGGGCAAGCGATGTCCGGGCTGGGCCACGACTGCGTGGGCGGAGTGTCGAGGTGGCCTTCGCCCTCAAAATGTCTGCGTCGCCGTCGTTATCGTCAATCCGCGTCTGCCATCGCCATGCCTCAGTGTTGTCCGTGTGGGCGGGACGAATCTCATCAGCGTTAAACCGAGTGCCACCAGGTGAGGTGAAGTCCACTGGGTCGTCGGATCGTGGGTAACTGGTGGGCACGCGGAGGCAGTCCAGTGGGATGGCGAAACCCGGTAGCGTCAGAGTGCCGTCCACGACGGGGGGCCTGGGGGGAGCCCATCCGACCCAGGCCAACCTCTCGATGGGACAGTTGTGGTCGTAGTTCCAGGTGGAACCCCAGGTCATCGTCCACAGGTTGCCAGGGGACGTGAAGGTGCAGGGGTGGGGCCAGCCGTGGGAGAAATTTCTCACCTTCGTAGTAGTGACTATCGCTGAGAAGGTGGTCGATGTCGTCGCATGGCTTCTGGCAAAGCTCGCAATACCATCTCCACCTTCCGCCGAAGAGCGCCCGTCGTAGCCAGGGACAGTACATGGCCAGAAAGGCCGGCCTCCCGTGTCTTAGCGGGGGCCCATCGTCGGGGCGGGGCAGACAGGATGCCCATCGCCTGAGTGGTCCTTGATTGTTCGGCATGTCAGGGGTACCAGGGAGCAGCTAACGGCTGCACTGTCTGCGGTGTATGAGAGGAGCGGGCCCGCGGCGACGCTGGCTGCGCGTAGCTGGGGCTGCGCCGCGAGCTGGGCAGGGCTATGGCTGGCCGCGGCCGGCGGGAAGCGGCGCCCCGCCTAGCTGTGCGTCGGGCGCCCCCTTGAGACCGGGGAGACTGGTGAGAGAGCACTAAGCCCAGGAGACGGCTTGAGCCGCCAAGGGGCTGCGGAAAACTGGTGGCGTCACGCGAAGCGTCGAGAATTTGTTGTTTTACCACCGTTTTGCTGGCATCTTCCTCCCTCCTCATTCTCCTCCTCCTCCCCTCTCCCTCCATATACTTCCGTACTTCCTGCTGCCCTCCGCCGCTCCTCCAAAAAGATCACACTGGCACGTGTCTGTTCACGACCACTTCGCCGGCGTGGCTCCCGAGGCGGAAGCGGCACTTTCACGCCGCTGCTCTCAGGTCCGAGCTTTTCCTTCGGCGGATCGACGCCAGGGCTTCGAGGGATGGGTCAGGCAGTGAAGGCTCAGCTCGGGCTCCCCCCACTCCTCAGGGCCCCATCTCTGCACCGCCGACGCCTGCTGGAGGGGCCCGTGGCCTGGAGCACATCTGCAAAGGAAGCGCCGCATGCGCCTCCCTCCCCCCCCCCTCGAGATCCCTGGGGGTCTCCTCGCGGGCGCCCGCCTCTAAAGGCTTCGGAGGCTCGCCCTAATATTGGAGCAATAAGGAAGCGCCCATGAGCCTTGAGCCTGGAATCTCGCCCCCCCATCCCGACGACGATGATGAGCAGAGAGGAGCGCCTCTCTCATCCCCGAGGGGGGAAAGCAGCAGAGGGGGGCTGGCTCAGGGGGGAGGCAACGAGCTGGAATCGGCGATGCATCGAAGATGGATCGGCTTTAGGCCACCGATGACGAACCCGCACGTGCCTCCTGGGCGGGCTGGGCTATCTGGCTATCGGTCCCCTTTCGGCGATCAGTAGGCGACTGGGGGTCGACGCATCCCCCCTGAGCCGCTCCCCCACTGATATGCCCCTGGGTCATGAAGACTGGGACGCCCGAAATGGGTATGGAGAACATGGGTACGATGCCAAACAGCAAATGTTGCCAAAAACAGACAGCGGCCGCTGTTGGGCAGGCGGCCTTCTGTCTCAAGTGGAAAGCGTCCACAGAAACGCCGATTGCGAACCCTGTTCAAAATGGGCAAGAACTGCTGTTTACCTTCGCACCCATTCTTTCCGTACCCATTCCGGCCGTACCCTTAAGTCGGGCGCGTCCCCCTACAGGGAGATCTTGAGCGACAAATGAACAATACTAAAACAATACCCCCCAAATGGGTCAAAATAGTAAACAAAAATCGTCCCCAGACTAATTGCTTACTATTTTTGAATATTCCTCTTGTAGAAGGGCGCGCCCGACTTAACCGTACTGGCCTGAGCTCCTCCCCCTCCCTTACCGTTGCCCCTGAAATATGAAGAGGGAGGAGCACCTCGCCCATCGGGGGCCTTGAGACAAGGGTCACTGCAAACGGGGGTCAGCCAGAGCGGCTGACCTCGCAGGATCCCGCAAAGCCAGGGTTGCGCTGACCTTGGCTAGAGCGCAGGATTCTGCAATTAGAGGCCTCCTGGATGGGGTCCGAGTAGATGGGGTCGAAGGATCGACCCGCATCGCCGATGCATCACTGATACATAGACGATGCATCGACGATGCATCGACGATGCATCGGCGACGACGCGATGCGTCGGCGACGTCGGCGTGAAGCAAATCGGGCTCCACATCGAATCGCATGGACCATGCATCGGCGATGCGGAGCGATCCTCCGAGGCCTACAATAGGTCAAGATCTCGCAAGATCCTGCAAAGCTTAGTGACCGAGGCTGGCACTGACCCGGGCCAATGCGTCCCCGATCTCAGCCCACTCCCGCCCTCTGCTGGACTCCGGCGCAGAGCGGCGGCCGGCGCGGAGGGGCCCCAGGGGCAGGGCGGTCCAGGGAGAGAGTGGGGGCGTTGAGCGGCGCCGGGGGGATCTTTAGCCTGCAGTTCTCCCCCTTCACCTGGGGCGCGGCAGGAGGAGGAGGAGGAGGAGGAGGAGGAGGAGGAGGAGGAGGAGAAGGAAGAGGAGGAGGACCACCAGGAGGAGGAGGAGGAGGAGGAGGAGGAGGAAGAGGAGGAGGAGGAGGAGGAGGAGGAGGAGGAGGAGGAGAAGGAGGACCACCAGGAGGAGGAGGAGGAGGAGGAGGAAGAGGAGGAGAGAGGAGCAGGAGACGGAGGAGGGAGAGGAGGAGGAGGAGGAAAGGAGGAGGAGGAGGAGGAGGTGGAGGAGGAGGCCTCGGATCCCCGAACTCCGAAAAAGTTTCACGCGAAGCAGGCCGGAAAACTTGAAGAATCGCATCTTGGAACCCATACGTATCAGGATGCCCCAAGCAAATCAAAACAGATCATGCCAAGCCAGATCATCTCGGAACCCCGACTCCTGAGGGTGTCTCACGCGCAACGGGCCAGAACACTTCAAGACCGCATCTTAGAACCCAGAACTGTGGGGAAGTCCCACGCGAAAAATACCATATCACATCCAGCCAGGGCATCTTGGAGCCCAGAGTTCTGAGGATGCCTCACCCGAAACGGGCCAGGACACTTCGAGTCTCATCTTGAAACGCAGAGTTGTAAGAATGTCCCAGGCGAGTCGGGGCAAATCGCTTCAAGTCAGAACATTTTGGAACCCTGAGTTCTAGGGATATCCCACGTGACACGGACCTCCTTCTCATCCTCCTCCCCCCCTCCTCCTCCTCCTCCTCCTCCTCCTCCTCCCTCCTCCTCCCTCCCTCCTCCTCCTCCTCCTCCTCCTCCTCCCCGTCCTCCCCTCCTCCTCCTCCTCCCTCCCCGTCCTCCCCTCCTCCTCCTCCTCCTCCTCCTCCTCCTCCTCGACCTCCTTGTCCTCCTCCCTGGCTGCTCTTCGCCAGCATGCTGTCCGAGATGCGAGTTGCGAACGCCTGCCCCTCCTCGTCCTCATCCATGTCCCCACTCCCTCGTTCTACTCCCCTGCCCCTCCGTCTGATACCCGTCTTTCCCTCCTCCTCCCCCTCCTCCCCCTGCTCCTCCGGCCGAGCCGACCATGCGCGCAGGAAAGAGACTCTAACAAGGCGTGCCAGCAGGCCCTGCGCGGCCACTGGACGACGACACAAATTAGAACGCATACGCGTGACCCGAGGGCGAAGAACCGTTCCCGTCAGCAGGGAGCGTGCCAAGCGCGTAAGCTCTCTCAGCACGTACGGCACCAAACCCCCTCGTGGCTGCGGGGAGTTTGGGGGAACCCCGGCATGCCCCACGAGGCCCTGCGAAGGCTACGAGGCATCGGAGGCACTTCTGGGGATCCCTGACAGCTCTGAGGGCATCTACGGGCATGTGAGTCGGAATGTGTGAGCATGTGCGGACGCGCGCTTCAACGCATGTGCGTGCATGTGCGGGCCCGCGCGGTCATCCGCAGGAGGATTGCACAGGCATGCGCGTGCATGTGCTGCTGGCAGATCTGCGATGCTCGCACACCTTTCGCATGTGCGGGCATGCGAGTCGGCATGTGCGGGCATTAAACAAACAAATGGTGCACCAAACACGACGCACATGAGCTTGCACTTGCCCTGGGCGCGCATGCACAGTAGGGCATCCAAACCAGAAGGCCCGCACATGCCGGGCACATGCATGCACGCATGCCAACGCAAAAGCGGCGGCCCATACACCCGACCAGGGGTATCGAAATGAGTGCGGTGTATAGTTACCTAACAGCGAAGACTGATAGGTTTCTAGTAGGGTCAAAAGAGAGCATCATGACGCCCCAAGGAGGTCTGGGCGCGATCCGGGGGAGGATGCCGGGGACTCTTTTTTTTTAGCCAACAATAACGCACTTCATGGTCTTCGATTTCCTAGAACTCCATTCCTGGGCATGATTTTGAATGCCCGGAGCCAACTGTAGGCCACTTCATGTTCTTCGAGTTCCCAGAACTCCATTCCTGGGCATGATTTTGAATGCCCGGAGCCAACTGTAGGCCACTTCGTGGTCTTCGAATTCCCAGAACTCCATTCCTGGGCATGATTTTGAATGCCCGGAGCCAACAGTAGGCCACTTCGTGGTCTTCGAGTTCCCAGAAATCCATTCCTGGGCATGATTTTGAATGCCCGGAGCCAACTGTAGGCCACTTCGTGTTCTTCGAATTCCCAGAACTCCATTCCCGGGCCACATTTTGAATGCTGAGGAAGGCGATGCTGAGGCTGAGGCAGGCTGAGGCTGAAGCAGGCTGAGGCTGAGGCAGACTGAGGCTGAAGCAGCTGAGGCTGAGGCTGAGGCTGAGGCTGAAGGCAGGCTGAGGCTGAGGCTGAGGCTCAGAGGCAGGCTGAGGCTGAGGCTGAGGCAGGCTGAGCTGCTGAGGCCTGAGGCTGAGGCTGAGGCTGAGGCTGAGGCTGAGGCTGCTGAGGCTGAGGCTGAGGCAGGCTGAGGCTGAGGCTGAGGCTGAGGCTGAGGCTGAGGCAGGCTGAGGCTGAGGCTGAGGCTGAGGCTGAGGCTGAGGCTGAGGCAGGCTGGCTGAGGCTGAGGCAGGCAGGCTGAGGCTGAGGCTGAGGCTGAGCAGGCTGAGGCTGATGAGCAGGCTGAGGCTGATGAGGCTGAGGCAGGCGGCTGAGGCTGAGGCTGATGCAGGCTGAGGCTGAGGCAGGCTGAGGCTGAGGCTGAGGCAGGCTGAGGCTGACTGAGGCTGAGGCTGAGGCAGGCAGGCTGAGGCTGAGGCTGAGGCTGAGGCTGAGGCTGAGGCTGAGGCTGAGGCTGAGGCAGGCTGAGGCTGAGCTGAGGCAGGCTGAGGCTGAGGCAGGCTGAGCAGGCTGAGGCTGAGGCAGGCTGAGGCTGAGGCTGTGACTGCGACTGCCGTTGCCACTGCGACTGTCATCGCGAATGCGACTACGACTGCGAGAACAGCAGAATTCTACAACTGGATTCTCATCTGAATCTTAAGGGGAATGCTTCCAGATATGCTCCTACACATCGCTGTTAGGTTGCTTTGCCGGGATACTTTTCTGGTTTGATCCCCTCCCCAGGGTCGACCCTGGGCGGGAGGGATGGCCGCGCCGCTCGAAGTTGAAAGGAGGTGGAGAAGGAGGGAGGAGGGAGGGAAAATTTGAGCAATAATGATATAGAATTGTGTTCCGCGATGTCGGCCTCTGATGTCCTCTCAGGGCCCGTCCAGGGACCAGGGACAATCAAAAACACATGTGGGATGAAAAACCGGTCAGGGATGAACCCTGCGAGAATGTCGGTGACTGGTTTTGAGCTGATTTCAACGAGCGAGGCCCCCATCCTGGCACATGCGGCGAGGCGCCTGTGCCCGTGCCCGTTCGCGTAAGGCGCACGAGTGCGTATGGCCCTTGGAAGATGCCAAACTCATGCTCGAATGAGGTTTCCCACGCTGTTGTCGCTATTTGGAACCAGCTGGTGTCGTCGGTGTCGTGGTGCCGGCAGCTGGTGTCGCGTTGTGCGTGTGTGCGTGTGTGTGCGTGTGTATGTGTGTGTGTGTGTCTGTGTGTCTGTGTGTCTGTGTGTCTGTGTGTGTCGTTGCCGCCATCTGGGCCCATGCTCAAGACAAACGCCGCCCCCCCGCGGATGGGGGTCATTTTATGCCGTCGTTCGTTCACTGGACTCCGCGGTTCAGGCACCTCGCCTTTGCGACGTACTCGATCCGCGGGGGGATGGGGTGACGTTGACTCGGGCTAGGGGCGGGTAGAGCAGGGGAGGGGGTGCTCATTCACAAGGAGCAGCGATAAACCCGTCCCCGAAGGGGATGAAGGGCCTTGGAAGTGAACGCGCCATAGATGAAGGAACAAACAAGTGCAAAAACATCATTTCTCGGAGGTCGGCTTGGTTTTCTGAGCTCGGCGCTGGAGCCCTCTCCCTGGGGCGCGGCGATGGGGTTGGAGTAGATGGGGTCGGAGGATCGACCGATGCATCAGCGATGCATCGGCGACGTCGACGTGAAGCAAATCGTGCTCCACATCAAGCCGCATCGGCGAGGCATCGGCGATGCGGCGTGATCCTCCGGCCCCATCTACTCCGACCCCATCTGGGAGGCCTCGAGCCAGGGGCGGCGCCAGAGGCGCCGCCAAGGAGCTCTGGCGCAGATCCCAGAAATACGCGCGGACCTCTGAAACATCAGTTTTTTTGTTCTTCGATTAGGCCCTGGGGTCCATCCTGGCCGTTTTTTCATTTTCTTCCGGCCCGGGGACCAGGACTCGGGCGCCCGGATGGCCGAAGCAGAAACCGAACTGCGGGCACGAGTGGCTCGTCATCGTCATCGTCATCGTCATCGTCATCGTCATCGTCATCGTCATCGTCATCGTCATCGTCATCATCATCATCATCATCATCATCATCATCATCATCATCATCATCATCATCATCATCATCATCATCATCATCATCATCATCATCATCATCATCATCATCATCATCATCATCATCATCATCATCATCATTCTCCTCATTCCTCATCCTCATCCTCATCCTCATCCTCATCCTCAGCATCAGCATCAGCATCATCATCATCATCATCATCATCATCATCATCATCATCATCATCATCATCATCATCATCCGGAGCGTCCCGGATCGGCGGCACTGGTCGGAGGCCACTACAATATCAAACGTGCCGCTATCCTGCACCTGGCCTGTCGTGTTCTCATACACGTCTGCTAACAAACGCAAGCACTCGTGAGGAAAACCCTGTTCTCGCCTGCGAACCTCGGGGTCACGGGACACTCTCGGGGGAGCTGCGCTCGAGCCGCCCGGACGAGATCTCGAGCGCGGCTGCGCCGAAGCGACCGAGTCGCCCAGGTGAGATCTGGGCTGCTCGAACGTCCTGGAGCGTCTACCCTTCTTCCATCCGCTCAACGCACGAACAACCTGCACGACAAGCTAGGGTAAAATCAGTGTGTGAGGCACCAGTGCCACTGACGCACGTGTGTTCCACCCCCGTTTGTTGAAGCATTACACGGTGAATTCGCGAATAGGGGAGGGTGCTGGTTTTACCTTTTACCTCGTTTTCATCGCGTGCCGAATGGCGGGCCGATGTCCCACCTTCGGCCGTCCCTCGAAGTATGCAGCGCCCGGTCGCGCATCGCGGTGCCATTTGCAGATGTAGGATTCGTTGCCCTAGGTTGCCCGAGGCTTAGGTTACGGCACCGAGTCCAGCATAGCCTGGAGCGTCTCGGCGCTCCAGGATCACCCTGCGCGTGGCCTGCGTGAGGGGCAACGCTTGGGGGAGGCCTTTCGTAAGAGGGCGCCGAGGACTGCGATTTGGTTCTGAGGCCGTGTCCCAGTCCTGGCGTGCTTCTTCGATATTTCGGCCTCTGGGGCTGGTTGACGGGCCCAAGGATAATCAAACACGGGATCTGGGACGAAAAACTACCCCTGGCACGCCACAACGGGGCTACGAAGGGGGGGGGGCTGACGCCCAGAATCTTTGAGCATAGAATCTCGATCCCCCATGCCGATGACGACCACGATAAGCAGAGAGGAACACCTTGGACCTTGATCGTCGCTGAGGGGGAACGATGGGGGGCCCAGCTCAGGTGAGGGAGCATCGACCTAGAATCGGCGGTACACCGCCGATAGGTCTGCGTTAGGCCGTCGATAGCGAATCCGCACGCTCCTCCTGGGCGTGGCGGGGCTATCGGGGTCGATGCATCCACTCCTGAGCCGATTCCCCCCCCAACGGTTACACTGCTGTGGGGCAGCAGCACGGATCTGACGCCGGAGGCCCCCAAGGAGCTGAAATGACCGCGGCCCAGCAAGTTCGCGCCGTGACGACTTCGGCGTTGGCCTCTGAGACCGCGCGGATTGCTCAGCCCTAGATCGGACGTCGGCAGGACTGGGTTGAGTGAGACCTGGTCTCTGATATGTGCCGGGGAACGCCCCCCCCCCCTCCACGAAACAGAACTGCCGCCATCCGAATAAACGCCTGCTACGGCAGGCCTGGTTTAGTGATTCTGGCTGATTTTGTGGGCGTCGGGGCCGAAGCACTAACTGGCTCCCTTTAACCGGGGTCCTGGCAATATCAGCCTCGAACTCCACAATCGGCGGCTGCTCGATCGCAAGATCGTTCCACATTGGCCGATTCTGGGCCACCGGCGGCGATCAACCTTGGGCGCCCCGCGCTGGGGTCGTCGCCCCGCCGACACGACACGAACCGACCGTACACTTCGTGTGCAGTAGACTACTCCGTACTTGGATTGACGGGTCTCACCCCGTCTCTTCCGTGCGCTGCCGCCTGCTTCTGGCCCTGCCAGCTGCGGCTGGCAGGAGGGCCGGTCAGGGCGTTCTGAAGTCCAAGTCGTTCGTGGTTCCCTCTGAACGGACGGGCGACTGCTCCACGTCCACGTGCAATCGAGCCGTCTGACGACGGCAACGGATCTGGTCGAGCACGGCACGTGAAAAAACTCCGTGTGCGCTCGGAAGCCATTGCTGCTCGGTGCAGAGGTGGCTGGCGTGGGAGGCGCTGTCGGTGTGCCACTGAGCTGCTGCACTGCATGTTCGCTCAACGAGGCCACATCCTGCCTCCTGCCGCGTCCCTCCTCCGTGCGTTGAGGCGCATCGCGTTCACGTCCAACTCTTTGTCCTCCTCCTCCTCCTCTTCTTCCTGGTCTGAACTGACCGCGGTCTTTTTTAGCGCGTTCCTCTGGAGAGGCTGTCCCCTATTTCCCTCTCGGGCATGTGGCCCCCGCGGGGGGGTGCGCATGCAGCTACACGCTGCGTGTTTTCAGGAACAGAAAGCTTCCAGTTCAGGGTCGACCAGCACCGACCCTGGTAAGGCCAACGGGCAGCAGGACTCGTTCACAGCTGTTACGTAATCTTATACAGTCTCCTCCCCTCTCCCGCCCCCCTCTTCTTCCCGTGGTGCACCCTGCGTCAGGTGTGCACGCATTGCGGACGCGTGGGTGGCGCGGGTGCCGCCAATTTTGCTCGGCCCAGCCAGCACTGCGCATCCGGCGCTCGCACGAGGGAGGGACGGGGAGGAGGGGCGGAGAGGATGATCGGCAGGTCGGAGCTGGGGGCCATAGGCACGAGGCCATAGGGCGAGAGGGCCTCGAGCAATGCAAACCACACGTGGCCCTTGGGCTGGGGTGGTCCAGGGCAATTCTTCTTCCAGCCGCCGTCTTCCCCTGTTGGGAGGGGGTAATGATTTTTCCTTGTTGGCATGCCCCCCGGCCCCACAGGCTCCTGACACGAGTGAATGCGCCCCCCACCATCCTTGTAAACGAAAGCGATACACGATGCATCCCCTGGCCAAGCCTGGATCAAGGTCGCCCCGCTGTTCGGGGGCCACCTCCCTTCTGTCCTTCTGTGATCGAGGTCCTCGAAGATGGCCCAATGAGGACCTTCAATGCTCCTAAGAGGGCCCCATGACTGCCAAACGACTCCCATATCGACAGATCCAAGACGGGATGTATGGTTGAATCCTGGGCCTGCTCGGGCTGATCTTGATCTTAGGTTTGGCGGTTGCTCTTGCTTTGTTTCACTGTTTGCTCCTACACTTCCCTGATCAAGGCAACGCGTCTGGGCGTCGTTTCTGGATGGGTTGATGGTGATACGCGGAGCGTTGAGAATTCAGCCTGGATGTCCTTCTTATCTCTTCATTGAGCCCCATCCCTCAGGGCCCCATCCTGAGAGGAGACTATAGGAGGGGACGGGTTAAGGGGGTGGGCTAAGGGGGGGGGGGACATCGAGCTTGAATCGCCGACACATCGCCGATTGATCGGCGGTAGGCCCCCGATATAGAAATCGCACGTTCCTGGGAGGCGTGAGCCAACAGGCCCCTATCGCGATGACAGGTGATCCTGGGTCGATGCATTCCCCCCTGAGCTTATCCCTCTCTTTCGCGTTGCCCCTGACAGGGCAAACCAAAAGATACCGATACGGTTACTCCCCAGACGTCTCCTGGGGTGACTTCTGACCAGAACTTCGAGGCCAATTCAGCAGTGGCGACGAGGGCTTCCCAGGAGGCCCCCCAAAGACGAACATCGGAGGCGACGCTGGGGTCGAATAACACAAAAGAGAACAGTATATATATATATATATAAACTAGAACCATCGCGCGCGCTTCGCGCGCGCTCAAGTTCTAGCTAGCTTCTTGGGGCCTCCTCGGAGCATCCTGGACTGCTTCTTGAAGTCGTCATGGGACCTTCTTGGCATGTCTTCGGGGGCCTCTTAGAAAGAGTTTTGAAACCTTTTGGGTCCCGTCTTGGGGTCTCTTGGAGCCTCTTTGGGGCGCCTTGGGGGCCTCTTGGGGCCTCTTGGGGGCCTCTTGGGGCCTCTTGGGGGCCTTTTGGGGCCTCTTGGGGGCTTCCTGGGAGCATCTTGGGGCCTCTTGTGGGCATCTTGGGGCGGAGAGCTTGAGTTTTCAGTTCGCGTTCCCTCTCTTGGGCCCCTCTTGGGGCCTTCTTGGGAACCTCTTGCGCCGTCTTGGGCGGCTCTGGGGCCGTCTCAGGGCTCTCTCGGGCCGTCTTGGGGCCCTCTTGGGGGCCTCTTGGGCCGTCTTGGATCGGTTTGGGGAGCCTCTTGGGCGGTGCCTTAGCGCCGGAAACACGAAACAGCGAGAATGCAAAAACAACATTGAAAGAAAACAATCAAAAATCAACAATTTTGCCCCTCTCGGGGCGCTCTTCGGCGGCATCTTAAAGGCCTCTTGGGGCGTCTTGGGGGCCTCCGGGGCAATTTAAACGCATCGTGCGTCGACGGAGACCCCTGGACGTCGTCTTGGGGGTGTCTCGAGACCGCCTGGGGCCGCCGGGATTGCTGTCTGAGGGCTCCCCGGGGCGATTTTAAGCTGCAGAGGCGGACCCAGGCCCCGGGCCACACATTTGTGGTCGGGGTCCCGGCCCCCGGCCCCCAGACCTGGTCCCCAATTATGTATATATATATATATATATATATATATATATATATATATATATCCAGAGGCGCCGATGATCCGTGTCTTCGGCGACGCTCCCGGGCGAATACGTGTAATGCCCGCCTCTGGGCTGTTCGCCCTTCCCGTCGCCGCTGAGAACTCGAGGCAGTGGTATAGCACCCCCCAGTGAAGAGAAGGCGCAGCAGCAGCGGCAGCAGGGCGAGACGCAGCAGGAGCGGAAAGCGCCCGGCGCGGTGGCGGCCGCCGCGGCGGCGCCAGCTCCTCCCTGGCGAGCCGTGCGCCCAGGCCGTCGGCGGCGCACAGCGCGCGGTCCGCGACGCCAGTGCCACGCCCGCCGCGCCGGCGCAGCTGGCGCAGGCGGCGCACCGCCGGGCCCCGGCCGCGGCGGAGCAGCACCGAGGCGGCCGACCAGCAGGCCTCGGGAGGGAAGAGTATCGATGTCGGCAGCTCCGCAGGGTGTGGTTTGCAACCCGCGCCTGGTGGGGGGGGCGGGCGAGGACCTCGACAGAGATCAAATGCCGCACCCCGACGAAAGGTCGCCAAACCATTGGCGCACCGTGGTGGCCGCTCGAACCCCAACAGCGCCGATCGCAAGCCACGCCCAGGCGTGACATCGTCGCCGACGATGACACGCCGCCGCTGCGAGTCCGTCAGCGTGTTGCTCCTTCGATTTCTGCCCGAAGGCCCAGTGGATCCTCAACAGCAACAGGCTGATAGGCTGGCCGCGGCGGTGTGTCATCAGCGATGTTCTGGCGCCCTGGTGGCCCCGACGTCCAGGAGGACGTCGCCGAGGCACGCCGCCGCCTCCGCCGTACGCGGGGGGCGCCCGCGCGCCCCGAGCGCCCACAGCAGCGCTGGGGCGCGGGTTGCCCGCGCTGCGGCGGCGGCCAAGGCGCCGCGCAGCCCAGGCGCGGGGCGAGCGCCACAGCTGGCGCGTAGGGCGAGGGCCAGGGCCTCCGCCCACCGGTGCGCCCTGGCGCAGCCGATCACCGCCGCCTCGAGCGCGAGCGGGTCGGGGCGCAGCGCGCGGCGGGGCATCTCGGCGGCCAGGAGGTGGAGGGCCTCCGCCCACCGCCGTGCCTGCGCGCAGGCCGCTGCCGCCGCGACGTGCAGGACCTCGTGCGCCTGCGCGGAGGACGTGCGGGCTATGGACAGGAAAGCCAACGCCGCCTCCCATTGCTCGCCCTTCGCGCAAGCGCTGATGCAGGCACCGTGCGTGACGGGGCTGGGCCGCAGGCTGCAGTCGGCCATCCTGGTGAGCAGAACCAGCGCCTTCGCCCACTGCTGACCCTTTTCGCAGGCGCTCATGGCTGAGTTGTGCGCGACGGCATCCGTCTCGACGCGCAGCGCACTCGCGCCAGCGAGGAGCGCCAGTGCGTGCTGCCAGCGCGACGCCTTCTCGCAAGCGCTGATCGTCGCATTGTGTGCCGCGCGATCCACGGGCAGCCGCCCCGCTCGCGCGCGCGGCAGCCACTGGAGCGCCCTGAGCCACTGCGAGCCACGCTCGCAGGCCACCGCCGCAGCGGCGCAAGCCGCAGCGTCCAGCCGCAGCCCCGCGGCGGCCCCCGTCTCGAGGAGCTGCAACGCCTGCGCCCACAACTGGCCCCTCTCGCAGGCGCGCGCTCCGGTGGTGAGCACGACCATGCTCGGCGGCAGGTCCCTGCGCGCTCGCGCCTCGGCGAGGACCAACAGCGCCCGCTGCCACAACTGCGCCTTTTCGCACGAGCTCACCGCCGTGCTGTAGGTCACCGCGTCCGGCTGCGCCCGGTCCGCCCGCAGGTCCGCAAGGACACCCAGCGCCCCGCACCACTGGCGCCCGGCGGCCCACGCCCCGGCCACGAGGTTGGCCAGGAACGTGCTATCCCCCGCGCCCACGCTGCCACGCAGCTCGGCAAAGAGGGACAGCGCGGCCTGCCACTGGCGGCCCCTCAGGCACGCGCGCCCGGCCACGCGGAGGGCGGCCACGTGCGAGGCGCAGCCGGCCCTCCGGACCTGGAGCAAGCAGCCGAGAGCATCCTCCCACAGCGCCGCCCTCGCGGCCGCCCGGGCGACGGCCAGGAGGGGCTGATCGGCGGCGACCGAAGGGCTGCTTCGCTGCCCGAGCTCCTGCTGCTGCCCCGACTCTGGCACCATGGCCCCGGCCGAGGCGCAGCAGGGGGGGTGGAGTCGTCGCGACCCAGCCTCGGGGCCAGATGGCCAAGGCTTCGAGGCTCGAGGTGCGTGGCGTGCTTAGGCGGGGCGCCCGTGTGGGCGAGGTCGCGAAGGCGGGGCGCCCCTTGGGGCGAGGTCGCGTGCGGGGCACGTGGCGGGCATTCTGCGGGGGACATGCGTTATACAGCCATCGTGCCACCACAAAGAACGACAGAGAAGGAACAGAGGGGCTTCCCTGGCCACGGCGAATCTCGGCCACGAGCGACTTCCCTGGCCTGGATCTACGAAGTGGAAACAAAGGCCCCTGCGGGCCCAGCAGGGGTCCGTATCTCAGCGCCTTGGCTTCATGCGGCACGGTTCGCGGATGGGTCTTAGCGGCCGCCTGGCCACCCTGGGGGCTAGGAAGAGGCCTGGCACGGCCGGGTCGATCTTCCGCATGCAGGAGACATTAACCCAGGGCCCTGGGAGTTAGCTGGCCTCGGTATGTTTCTCTTTTCCCCTATGTCCTAAGATGGAAGTATTGTTATCAATACGACGCCTCCGCCTCCTCTCGCTCCCGCGGTCTCCCTTCAACACCCAGACTCAATCATGCTCAGAATCACAAGCGCTCAAACCCACTCACACTGAGACTCACTCATACTGATACTCCGACTCACTGACAGACCCACTCATGCCTAGACTCACTGACACTCAGATTCACCCACACTCTGCTTCACACGCAGTTACGTTATTCCAGCTCGAACCAGTCACGCACCCAGATCAATTGAATATTAGATCCCTCATACTGACTCACTCATACTCTGACCCCTCACACTCAAATCCGCTCATACCCAACTTCGTAATTATCACACAGACACACCACGCACACTCTGATGGACCGGACCGCATCCAGAGCGAATCAGATGCGACTGGCACTCCGACAAACCGACACTTGGCCACTCATACTCAAATCCACTCAATCTCGATCCTCGTATGCAGACTGGCTCATGACCACCGTGATTTCGCATGTCTACCACTTGGGCGCTCCAAGGGGGGAGCCGCTAGAGGGTAGGATCGGAGGTTGGGGGGTGAGATCGAAGTGGAACGGAGAGCCCCCCTACCGGGAAATCGATTTCGGTTTCGTGTTCGTGCCGTGCGTGCGGGCGAGGCGAAGCTGCGTGGGCGAGGGAGAGGAAATTCTCCTGTGGCTGGGGCGCGGCTGGACCAAAAAGTTCTCCGACCGGCAACCGGTGGCGCGCGGTGCCCCGCCGGAGTCCCGCAGGTGTCCCGCTGGTGTCCCGCCGGTGTCCCGTCGTGGCTGGGCCGCGGCCGGACCAAAAGGTTCTCTGCCCAGCAACTGGTGGCGCGCGGTGTCCCACCAATGTCCCGCTGGCGTCCCGCTGGTGTCCCGCCGGTGTCCCGTCGTTGTCCGGTGGTGTCCCGTGGTGAGATCGACAGTGAGATCGATAGTGAGATCGATAGTGAGATCGATAACGAGACCGATAGTGAGATCGATAGTGAGATCTAGAGTAAGAGATCGATGGTGAGATCTATAGTGAGATCGATCGTGGTATCGATGGTGAGATCGATAGTGAGATCGATAGTGAGATCGATCGAGTGGGATCGATAGCGAGATCGATAGTGGAATCGATACTGAGATGAATAGTGAGATCGAAAGCGAGATCGATAGTGAGATCGATAGCGAGATCGATAGTGAGATCGATAGTGGGATGGATAGTGAGATCGACAGTGAGATCGAGTGTGTCCTGTCGGTGTCCCATCTGTGTCCCGTCGGTGTCCCGTGGTTTCACGAGCTGAGATCGATAGTGATATCGATGATGATATCGATAGTTAGATCGATGAGACCGATAGTGACAACGATAGTGAGATCGATAGGATGATCGATACTGAGATCAACTGTCAGATCAATAGTGATATCGATATTGAGGCTCTTAACACCCAGACTCTTAACACCAAGGCCAGACCTCTCGCAGGCCAACCACTGTTGCCCATTGCTGGCCCCCTCCCCCTTCAACCTCCTTATCACCCGCAGGGTGGTCGTATAGGTATGTCCTAATTCGTGCCACGATAGTGGGGATCTTTTTTTCCCAAATCATCGCTGAGTTTGCTAGTTCGTGTTAGGCTCATGCGGTCCAACCGCGGCTGGAACAATTCGCGGGCACGGGAGACTGGGATGCATCTGCCTCGGCCTCCAGAAACACCCCACGGTCCCGGAGGATATAAGGAGCTCCACGGAGAAGGAGAGTGGCAGTGCACAGATGTCGGTAGGGTGCTGGACAGCGACCTCGCCACCAAGTCCGTTCCCTCAGACAGACATGGGACAGGGCGGAACAGGGCGCTCCTCTGAAAAAAAAAGGTGGCAGCACGCAATTCAGGAGTTGAACTTTTGTTTAGGGACGTACCGGTGGGGTGCTGGACAGCGGCCCCTCCGCCACGCCCACCCCAGGCAACGTCTCACGGTTGGGGAACTCCCATCCGCCTCTCGGCGTGCCAGGACCGCACGAACGCAGCGCATCACTCAGCCTGGCCCCAGGGGCGGGATCCGAAATGAGCCTCCTGATGCAGTGAAGGCTGAGATGAGACCATGCCTCGGCAAGTTTTGTGCCGACTGGTTGTATTAAGCGTGCAACAGATACTTGCTCGGGGAACGCACAACTGGCAGGCCTTCTTGCATGATGTGCAGCAAGGAATGCGTCAAGACAGGTAGTAAGCTTCACACACGCAGACAGAAATTGTCGAAGGGAGCTGGTGGGCACTCACGGGGCCTTGATAAGCACGAACTGATCACCCCAACCATTGCACAAGCAACGCTTTAGACCAAATGCCACAAAACAGTTGGCGGAATGAATCGAGCGAGGTCGGTGCTGCCGTCAGGATCCTCGCAACCAAACAGGCAACCTGCAGCTTTCGTGTGAAACCTGGCGGGCGTATTCAAAGAGCAGAGCGAATAGCCGCAGAGGTGCCACTCCAATGTACGCAAAAGTGTGTTTACGTATAGTTTAACCATTAAATGATACGTACATATACTTTAATAGTGTTCATTAAATGATCATTCGTGATTATTATGACAATACTTTTGAAAACGGCGTATGATGCTATAAACACCTCAATAATGGTTAAACTATACGTTAATATGTTTAAGCGATTCGTTTACTCATCAGTAAATGATCATAAAAACACTAGTGCTGATGGAACACACCCTATCAACATGAGAGCGGTCAACTGCAACTTCAAGAAAGAAAATATGAAAACGATGCAATCATAATATCATGAAATGGTTCGGCCGGGACATGAGACGACGGTATTTATGCAGCTTGGCCTGAAGGGAATCAGGAGTCCGAGGAGACACCAGAGTCGCATCCCAAATACTAGTCCCTGAAGCGGCGTGTGTGCCCAAAGAAAGATGACTTGTGGCTACCCGAAAGCCAGCAGAACGGGATGTGTTCGGGATCCTCCCTGGCCAGGTCCATCTCTCCCATCACCTCCGAGAGCGCCTGGGATTTGAGTAGGTATCGCAGGGAAGCGGTTTTCGCAACATCGTACATACCAGTAAACTGGATTCCGAATCCAAGCGATCGGAGCTCCGTACCAGTGTTCTAAGCGATGGCGTTCGGTAGGCCGCTCGTGAGCAACATGACATGTTCCTTGCACGTCTTAGTGAGATGCAGATCTGGGGGGTCGAGCAGGAGACGGTTCTTTTGTCTGCAGAGTCGACGAGGTTGCCGCCCTTCTTCTTGTCCTCTCCCGCTGTCACGGTCGCACGCGGTCACGCTAAAAAAGTTGACGTGCGCGACGCTCAGGGAGCGATGGCGAAGGCGGAACGTGCTGGAAAAAAATTACCCGCCAGGGGCGGGTTCAGATGGCCGAGCGCGCCTTCCGCGGCACGCGCCCGCCACCCCTGGGAGCGCCGCCCCTCCCGGTCGGGAGCAGGGCCCGACCCAGCCTGCGCTCCCCAGGGTTCGCTGGACACTGGAGGCCTCTGGGAAGCCCACCGCTGGGCACGGGGGCCTCAGGATGCAAACGCAACAGCCCAGGAGGCAGAGGGAAAAGGCAGACTATTCGCGAGGGCGCCCATAACCGTGGTCAGGGCTCGAAAAATAAAAAAAACAAAGCTCTCAGACCGTCTTCTTGGCTCCCGCGTGCCCCCCGCGCAGACGACAAAAGTCACACCTGCGGCGCCAGGGCGCCTCGTTCCGGAGGCGCGCCCGGCGAGAAGGAAGGCGGCGGGGGGGCATCCCGCGGCGCTCACGCGCGGAGCCCGCACCCGAGCATGGCGCGGCGCCTCGGCGAGAGGCGGGCAGGCCAGGGCGGGCACTCACCTCTTCGCCTTCATGTCCGCGATCTCCCTCTGGAGCTGCGCGATCTCGGCGCTCTGAGCGTCCATCTTGCGCTCGTCCTGGGCCTGCTGGCTGCTCAGCTGCTGGTCGGTGGCGGTGGGGCCGCGGTCGTACCCGCCGCCGAAGCCGCCGAAGCCGAATGGCGACGGGAAGAACATTGGCATGCCGTACCCGAAGCCGAACGGCGAGTAGCCGCCCCCGATGACGACGTTGGTGGTGCTGCTCGTGGCCGCCCTGGCGGTCGGGCCCCGGGCTGGCGCGCCCCGCGCGGGGCCGCTGGAGCGGCCCATGCTTCCGCCGCCCCCGCCCATGCGGCCCCCGGAGCGCGCCGCCTCTGGTGGGCTTGTTCTCCACCGCCACCATCATAAGTAGGAGGGGGAAGGGGTCCTCCTCCCCCTCCTCCTCCTCTTCGTCCTCATCCATGCACCACCTCCTTCCCCCCTCCAACTGATGGTGGTGGTGGTGGAAAACGAGCCCATCAGCCTCGGCGCCCTGCAGGGGCGCTAGGACCACCATCAGCGCGGCGCACGCCGCCAACGCCGCGCGCAGCGCCGCGCCTGCGCCGGGCGCCTCGGCCGCCGCGTCGGCTGCTGGCACGGTGCGGCCACCCGCGGGCGCAGGCGCAGTCGCAGCAGGCGCGGTGCGCGGCGCGGGCCGCGTGGCGCCGGGGGGCGCCACGTAGGCAACGGAGCCAGCGAGCGCACAAAGCGCCGCGAGCAGCATCGGCGCCGCGGCCCTGGCCATGGCTGCTGGCTCCTCGGTGGCGCTGGGCGGCGGCAGGCAGGGCAGGTTTGGCCTCAACTGGCTGAGCTGGAGGCGAAATGAGAGCTTAGATATACACACACAACTTGAAGCGTCAGCGCTGATAGAGCGAGCCCGAGGCCAAGCTGCCGACGACGGTGAACACGGGCATGAAAAGCAGGAAGGATAGGCTCCCACACATGCAGGTGAGCATCTGGGCCAGTGGGGACTCAGAGGTAGGCAGCCCAGGTCAGATTTTGGATCAGAGCAGCAGGGCCACCGAGATCCGACAGTAGATTGCGGGGACCTCTTGCGGCAGGCACTTGTTTGGCGCCCCCGACTCCGATTCCGATGGTCACGTCGATTTTGCAGGCAAAGCATTCGGGCGCCCAAAGGGAGGGAGCCGCCAGAAGTAGGACACTTCCCCGTTCGCGCTCAGATGATGGGGATGTATGGAGCGAGGTGCAGCGTTCCCAACCCTTGCCTTTTCATAGCCTCATGGTCACGTCGATGTAGCAGGCATAGTTGCGGGGCGCCCCAAGCAACAGGCGCCAGGTGGTGCTGCACTTGCTCCTTCGCGGCCAGATTGTCGGGATGCCTCGAAGGCAACGCTGGTTTGGGCACTGGCGACTACTCTCCAGTCATGGCCCCATGAGGACCGCGATTTTGAAACCATCGCACTTGGGCACCCCAAGGGGGAGCCACCAGGGGAGTTGCACTTGCCCGTTCGCGGCCAGATCGCGGGGACGTCTCCAGGGAACCGCTGGTTGGGGCACCCCTGACTTCTCTCCTTCCCGAGCCCCAAGATCATCCCGATGCAACAGGCACCGCACTTGGGCACTCCGCAGGGGAAGCCGCCAGGAAGCGCTCCGTCGCCTCAAGGCAAGACTCCCTCACGCGGATGCTCACAGGGGAAATGCCGGGAAATGAGACGCACATATGCTGGCGGCGAGCACAAGGGGGTAGGGGGAGAGGGGGAAGGCTTCTCAGAAGGAGGCTGCTTCTTAGAAGGCGCCGGCCTTGCATCTACAGACAAGGCCGGGCAAGGCCCGCGCATTCTAAGAAGCAGTGGTGCTTCTAAGAAGAAGCCTTCCTCCCTCCCCCCATCCCCCTCTGCGCGTGGCCGAATATGAGCGACACGGTCTTGCGTGAGAAGGCATCACGGCCTTGCGCGGTGGCCGGGCAGCCGGCACGGCGCGCCTCCTGGGAAGCGGGGGAGCCTCCGCGCGACCCTGCGCGGGAGGCTCACGCGCGAATGTCGGCGCGGTGGGCCCCCCCTTCTGTCTAGTCACTCACAGGGGGATCTCCGCATCGAATCACTTTGCCTCTGGAGGGCCCCCCCCCCTCGGAGGTCTCTGGAAGTCCTCGTGGGGACCCTGCGAGCGACCCGCGAGAAGGGGCCCGGGTCCTCGCCACGCGAAGCGCGTCCTGCTCTCCAGAAGCCCCTGGAAGGCCAACAATGGCACACGACCAAAAAAAACAGCCTCCAGCGGCCCAAACAGGAAAACACGGAGGCCCAGAAGGCCCCATGAGTTAGTTTCCAAAAAAGGAGGCGAAGAAGGACAAGAAGGACCCACACAGGAAGCGAACTATGGGCAACAAGGATAACAGAGAGGACGTATCTGGAGGCCCAAGAACACCAACAGGACAAAAGAGCTCCCGTCCTCCTCCTCCTCCTCCACCTCCTCCTCCTCCTCCTCCTCCCCCTCCCCTCTCAATCGCAATAGTCTGCCCAAGGTCGCTCATGCCCCTCCCCTGCTTAGCCTGGCTGGCATATGGTGTTTTACTGCGCAGAAGGCGCCAATTGCGCCCAAACAAGCACCAGCCAGAGGTCAGGCCGTACCTGGGCTGCAGAGGTGGTGGTGGTGGTTAAGTGTAGGCTCGCGACCTTGGGGGGGAACGAAAGGGTAGGATAGCAAAGGGTAGGGTTGAGAATCACCTCACGTAGCTGGTCTTCCTGGCGCTTTCTGGCGCTAGGAGGCGCCCATTTATCCAAGAATGGGCCCGACGGCGGGGCCGAAACCAGCTGCACGCAGCAAAGATCGTAATCCCTCCTTTCCCCATCCCCCCCTTTCCGTCTGGCCCGAGACTTGCTGGCCCTCAGGGATGTCCTCTTGATAATATGGCCCCCTCGAGACATCCCCTGCAGATCGCGCTGCCATCAAGAACACCGAACCAGGAACGAAGGGGCTTTTCTGACCACGACTGGCCTCGGCCACGCAGGGGTTCCCCGACCTCGATCTAAGGAACGACCCGAGAGCCAGAGAGCCCCTCCTGAACACACAGAGGTCCTTGCTTCAGCATCTTCATTGTATCTCCAGCTCGGGGAGGCATTGGGGACATCCTCGCTGGAGGTGGCAACCCTGGGGGTGGTGGTGGTGATGGTGGTGGTGGTGTCGCACTTCTATTTCCTTTGACACAGTCGGGAGAGTTAAAGAGGCAGGTGGGATCGGGCGCACGCTAGCATGGACTACTTACGGATCCGTGGGCGCCCGCAACGCGGCGCCTTGACCCAGCGCCAGCCGCACTGGCCGGCGGGGCCGTCGAGGAGCACGTCGTACCGCATGCTCTCGGCGTCCAGCGACTGGGGAGCGGGAGCTTTCACGAGCTACAAACATATCCGTATCTGCGTCCTCGCGGTCTGGATTCCGGGGCGCGACCCCGCGCATGTGCGGTCGTAGGGATACGTTCCGCCCCAGGCATCGAGCCCGCGGATACGGACATGTTTTCGCCCACGAAGGTTGACTGCGAGGTCTTTGTCAGAACGATGACGGACTAGAAAGTCCGAATCAGTGGCCATCGAAGCAAATCAGGCCGGATTGAGCCCAAGATTGAGCAGGATGAAAACAAACCGATTGAGCCGGATTGAGCAGGATGGAGCCAGATGAGGCCCCGGTTTTCGACCGCGGGTACATCAGCGCAGATTCTAAGTTTAACCCCCCCAGGAGTGGCATCCTCAGGGAGGGGCGGGGAGAAGGGGGAAGGACTCTGTATTGTAACAAGGATCGCCGAAGGGCGCAAACCATCACCTCCCCGAACCAAAAATATGTCGACCCCTATCCCAAGCTTTGGGAGGTTTTCGAATGGACCGGAAATTTTGGGCCCAACCCTGGAATATACGACGGGGGGGCGTCCATGCTCGATAGGGGTGCGTCCGAATAGCCCCCTGGGGGTGTATCTGAGTGACTTCATTGTTCGTCGAGAAGTCGGGGGGCGGGGGAGAACAATCGCCAGCGTTCCCCGAGGGCAAAAACTGAGCGAAGCGGCGCGACGAGACGTGCTCCGGCACAGGCTGCGGCGGGCCGCGGCCGACGCACTGACAGAGCGAGCGGGGTGAAAAGTTCGGGCGGCGCTCGAGAGCCTGCCGCGCTCGAGGAGAGAGCGGGAGGGACCACAGGCCAGGCGCCGGGCTAACGGCGATGTTGCTCAACGGTGATGTTGGGAACCAAAGTTTAGGAGGCAACTACTGGGAGGTCTTCGTCGGAAGGAACAAGGAGGATTAAGCCCCAATGGGGGGCCACTACGCTGGATTGGGCCGCGGATCAAGCGGGATTAGCCGGATTGAACGGGATTAAGCCGGATTAAACCGAATTAAGCGGGACTAAGCCGAATGTCGGACCAGGGCAAAGTCAGAATTTGATCCCAGGAAATGCATACGAACAAATGGTAGGAACTCACGAACCACACCTTCCTAGATTTCCCATCTGCGAGTGGCTCGAGAGGCTCGAACGAACACGACACAGCGAATGGTAGTAATACGCGGGCCACGCGTTCTCACAATTCGGCGGCGAGCGAGAGGGGGAAATGAGAAGGAGAAGGTCTTCTCAGAAGGCGGCGAGACTTCTCAGAAGTCCTCGCGCCTTCTGAGAAATTTGCTGTGTCTTCGGGGAAGGCGTCGAGCACTTCTCAAAGGTCCGGGGACTTCCGAGCCTTCTGGGAAGGCCCGCCCCTTCTCACTTCCCCCGTGGGCTCGCCGCCGAACAATTTCCGAAACCTACATCGCCGTTGCCTACGTCGCCGTTAGCCCGTCTACGGAGGTAAGAGATGGAGGAGGACAGACTGAGGATGATTTGCGTTGTTTCCCGCATTTGCAAATCTAGCCTCACTTCGGGCTGCAACCGGAGGACTGTATATGCCAACCTGGAACGACCAATACAATAGAAAACTCTCGCAATGGCTTGCGCAACCACTGCCAACCTTAATCGCCAACCTCAACGGGTATTCGTCATAAAGCCTCATGGCACAACGTGGTGAGATGTCAAATGCTGCCCAGTAGGGGTTATGTAAGTCTTTTAATGACCCCCTCCTCGTCTAGCACATGGCTGCATGCACTACCAACCTTTCCGAGGGTTGCTAGGCGCCCCGACGCCTCACTGGCGCTCTCCAAGGTGTGCATAACGGCCCATGCAGGTCGCCGACATGGCCCAAGATCGCCTCCAGACGCACCCAAGAGGCCCTCAGAACCTCCCAATCAGTCCGAACAGGCCTCCACGATGCCCCAAGACAGGCCCTCGACAAGCCAGACACATTGACGATCAGTGTGAGCGTGTGGGTGTCTGGCTTTTTCCCCACTCACTCTTCGGTCGAAGACCAGTCCACTTGCGGTCTTCGAGGGTCCAGGGGGGCCCAAATAAGAGCCCTGAGAGGGCCCCCTAGTCAGCTCAGGACAGCGCCACGAGAGCTCGAAGCTGGCCCAAGGGAGAATACGGAGGGAGCCACTGGTCCCACGAGGCCTCCACACACCCTCGATACGCTCTCCAGGAGGGCCTCGATTGATATTGGGGTTTTGCCGTTGCTTCAAACGCTTTGCCTCCACGCTCTACCGTCGAAGACCCGTATACTTGCGATCTTCGAAGGGCCCAAATGGGGCGACTGAGGGCTCCCCCCTAGTCCCTAATCGGCTCAAGACAGCCCCAGAAGAGCCTGAAGCTGGCCCAAGAAGGGCTCACGACGGCCCCACGAGACCGCACAGACGGCCAAGAGGGCCCCCAGGCCGCCCAGGAGAGCCCCGAGACGGCCCCAATACTGCACCACAGGAGCCCACCACAGCCCCAAGACGGTCGCAATAAGCCGCATGAGAGCATTCAAGAAGTGTGGAGACGAGAGGTGTCACATGTGACGGCCTTGCTGGCGGTGCTCGAAAGGTTGGCACACCGAATACTTCGCCGGCACGGTGGCCGACTTGCAGCAAGCATTTGGATAGTTCCCGTCCGCGTCACACCTGCTCTAGGACTTACCAATGGCATGGCTTCCGCTCCGCTGGTCAATGCCTTGCCGAAACACATAATACTGCCGCACTTGGTTGACGTAACTATGTTTGAGGCTCACCAACCAAAAGTGGTTCCCCAGCGCGCGTATCACTTCGCGCTCGGGTACAAATGTCGCTCCTGATAACCGATATACGGTATACCTGTATACCGATATACGATTCGGCGAATCCTTGATTAAACCATCCTCGCTCGCTCGCGCCCCATCATCCCTCCTCTTCGTCTCCCAAATACCTCCTCCTCCTCCCGCCTCCTCTTCCTCCTCCTCCTCCTCCTCCTCCTCCTCCTCCTCCTCCTCCTCTTGGTCTCCTTACCGCGTCCCTCCTCTTCCACCATCCTTCCTCCTGCTCCCCCCTCCCCCTCATACTGCCTCCGCCCTCATTCCCGCTTTCATGCTTTTGACTCCTCCCTCCTCCTCCGTCCTCAAGGCCTTCTCTGCCTTTTCCCCTCTCACTTCTTCACTGCTCCATTTGCTACTCCTCCCCCCATCATGCAAGCCTGCACAACGCCGGTGAGGCCGTTGAAATCCGGCAACTTCACGAGCCCCTGGATAATCACCTGCCCGGCCCGCGGCATGGCCTGCATGTCCCGACCAAGCGCCATGGGTAGCCAACCTCAAACATATCTCTTTCCCTAAGGGTGGTCAGCAAACATCTGCTGATGTCAACATCATGGATGCAACGTCAATAGCCAAGCGGCTCCCAACGCAATGATTACGCATCCACCGCCGTGCCGCGAGGGAATTGGTGGAATGTTCTTAGGCCACGTCGAGTGCTGGATGCTGAGCGTTGAAAATGCGATTTGAAGGCCAAGGCGAAGGACTCCCAGAATTGTTAGGCACTCTTTGGACGTGCGTCTTGACTTCTCCAAGAGGTCCAACGAACGAACGTGGTCGGGAGTCCACGCTTCCCACGTGAGCGACGAAAAGAAACGGGTCCCCCACGAGAAAACATAGCGGCTTTACGCCGCGGATTTACGCGGGTCACCAGCGTGGCACACCGCGTGGAGAAGAGGGTGCGCACGTGCGATATTATGCAGAAAACTGTCGCACCATTGTCCACGCAATCGAGCCCGTTTCCTTCTGTCGCTCACGGGTCCTAAGATGGTCCGAAGGGCCCGTCCCAAGGCTCTCTTGGGAATTTCTTGGGCCTCTTGGAGATTGAGGGCCTGGAGGCCAGACCCAGGGCATTTCAAGCATGCTACGTACGTGCTAATCGGAAGTTGGAGGGTGAGATCGAAGTGGAACGGACTCGCCCAACCGGGACATCGATTTCGGTTTAGGTTCGTGTCGTGCGTGACGTGAGTCTGGGCGAGGCCAGGCGAAGCTGCGCGAGTTCCTGCCCTTAGTAACAAGCCTTAGTAAGAGATCAGCTCCTGCCCAATGAGGCGTCCTGGCCTAGGCGTTGGCCCACCTCCCGTTGGTTGTCTCGATGGTTGCCCCGATGGTTGTCCTGACGGTTCTCCCGACGGTTGTCCCGATGACTGTCCCGAAGGCTGTCCCGACTCCGATGGTTCTCGCTGGTTCTCCCGACGGTTTTCCCTACGTTTTTTCCCTGCGATTGCCCCGACGGTTGTCCCGACGGTTGACCCGATGGCTTTCACGGTGGTTCTTCCGATGGTTCTCCCGACGGTGGCAAGCCGACCCCTATAAGCCTATGAGCCTTCTTGAGCTCATCGGGCTCATGCAGCCGATAGGTTCGGGAGCGAGAGTTCATCAGCAACGGTACCTTTTCCTCCTGTGGGCTCTGGAGGCGGCGGGGGCTTCGGTTTGGAGGCCGCTGGGGGGTCTGAACTGGTTGGGGCCACAGAATATCTGTCAGAGGGGGGGCGAAGCCAAATTCAGCCAAAATCGCCCCCCCGACCCATCCTGGAGTCTATCTTGCAATTTTTCGCCCCATATCGTTTTCTGACGGTCTGGGGCCCGCAAAAGGCCCCTGGAGTTCTTAAAAGGTAAAAAACCTCCCCGAACCAAAAAACCTCGAACCTACCTGCCCCCCTGCTCGCCGGAACCAGTCCTGGGCGACCTCAGATCCCCAGCCGGCTGCAAGCGGGGACCTCCCTGCCAATCCTGGCGGCACCTGGTGGGCCAAGGGCACCCAGGGTACCGCCCCGAACCCTGCTGGGCGCCCCGCCTCAGTGCCCGGCACCAGCGCCGCGTCGTGCAGCTCGGAACCCGCCGGCGCCGCCTCGCTGAGCGGCAGGGCGCGCGCGGGCGCCCGCGCGGGGGAGGGGCCGACCTCCGACGACCCGAAGCAGAAGGCACCTTCCCTGAGACCCTGGCGCTGCAAGTGCTTCATCATGCGCGTTTTCGCCCCGTTCCCGCCCCTCTGAATCGCACGGAGCGATCCAGCGAGATAAATGACGCAGAGAAATCGGATTCGGGGTTCTCGTGGTGATCTGTTGCGATGCTGCAATTTGTTGCAACCTCAAGTCTCAGGGTTCGATCCTTGATCCTCGATCCTCCCGCTTGTTTTCCTCCTCCATGCTCCTGTTCCTGTTCCTGTTCCTGCTCCTCCTCTTCCTCTTCCTGCTTTTCCTCCTCTGTTTCCTCCTTCCTCCTCCTCTTCCTGCTTCCCTCCTATTGTCCTCGAGCGATTCGGCGAGGTCAAGGGACCGAGCGCCGATGTGCGGATCTCAGGATCCCCACTTCGGGGGAGGGTGGCAGAAACAGGCAGCTGTGCACCTGGAGCCACCCCCGTGGGGCCAGAGCCGATGGTGTTGGCAGGCCGCGCCGCATCGCCAGATGCGCCGCCGATGCAGTGGCGGCGTGCAGCGTGCAACGAAAACGAGGGACCAGGGACCAGGCTGGGGCCATCATCCGAATCGAATGAGGGCTGGCAGGAGAGTGGGCGGCAGCGGCCGCCTGGGAAGGCCTGGAGCAGCGGCTCCGAGCGAAGACGAGGAAGAGGGAGGACGACGAGGAAGAGGAAGGAAGAGGACGACGATGAGGGGGCGGCGGCGGCGAAGCGGTAACGGGCCGAGTCGAGAATGATCTCCGAAAAACCTCAACAATCGAAAATAAGTTCGAGTTGAACGACATACCGTGCGTGGTATACTACTGGGGGCAGGCCCCAGCGGCGGGAGCCCCGAGTTGCACAATAATGGCTCTGACAGGGGCCACCGTCGAACCCCGAAATGGCCCAAGGAACAGAAACAGGACGACGAAGGGACAGAGCCAACGGGGCCATCCTTCGGGCAACCCCAGCAATGTGCATGCAACAACTTTCGTAACCCCCCCTTGCCCTACACCCCCCCTTGCGTCAGGCCCGACTCTGGCGAAGCGGGGGCCCTCCACTCACGAGGAGCCTCCGGCTCCCGAGAGCGGCAGAGCACCGCCGGGGTGGGCGGCTCCCCGCGCGGGTGCCGCCGCGGCTCGGCGGGGCGGCCTGCTCAGGGCCTGCTCACCCCCTCCCCCCGTGGGGTCCTCGACCCGGGCAGCAGATCGTGGGCCAACTTCTGGAGTACGGTGGGACTTCCTCCGTCCAGCCCGAGACAGCGACGACGCGCAGGGGCGCCCTCGTCGGCGTCGGGTCCCGAGAGCCAGCCGGGCGCGCGGCCTGCGCCGGCGGCGGCACGGGCGGCGGAGGTGCCGCGGGCGCGGCGCCTGGGCGCTCGGGGGCACCGGATGAGGAGGAGGGGGAGAAGGAGGGGGAGGAGGAGGAGGAGGAGGGGGAGGAGGAGGGGGAGGAGGAGGAGGAGGAGGAGGAGGAGGAGGAGAAACGGGAGAAGAGAGGAGGAGGAGGAGGAGGAGGAGGAGGAGGAGGAGGAGGAGGAGGGAGGAGGAGGAGCAGGAGGAGAGGAGGAGGAGGAGGAGGAGGAGGAGGTACGGGAGGAGAAGGAGGAACGAGAGGAGGAGGATGAGGAGGAACGAGAGGAGGAGGGGGAGGAGAAATAAGGGGAGGAGGAGGAGGACGACGAACCTGAGGAGGAGGAGGAGGAGGAGGAGGGCTTCCCATACGCATATATAATAAAGAGAGCGGAGCGCATAGAGACCCATCCTGGCCAGGCCCCATCCTGTGCCTCGGGGTCGGTGCGTGATCAGCAGATGGGCCTGGTCAGGATCGGAAGGGCACCCAACTTCAGAGGAGAAACGAGGATCACCACCGCCGAAAGCCCGTCGGGGGGGCCGACATCTGGGCAGTGACACGCCTGGGTGCCGTCTTGTACTGGGCGACGCTCGATCGTGCCACCGCCCAGGGGTCCCCCCGTGGGCTCTCGGTGGCGGACGAGTGAGAGAAAGCGAACATGGTTTCAATTCAGGTATTTCTCCTCTGCGCTGCAGGACTCCAGCAACCCTGCACGCAGCCTCGACGCTTGAGCGCGTTGTGCCAAAAAGAAGCAGAGACGATGACGTCATTGAATGGCCTGTAAATCCTGACGTCTTTCACCAAGAAACAATGCAAGACAATCTCCGAACCCTCTGACACATCCGAACGACTGTGCTTTTCAGTCCCGGCTATACTTTCGTCGAGACGTGGGGCCCACAACATCTGTCGACCCCTTCACCGGGGACTGGTCATTCATCCCGAGTCGTTGTCTGAACGCCCAGGGGGCCCGAACCGATCCCCCAAATGATCCTGGCGAGGGGCCCAAGCGTGAATGCTGCAAGACAAATGGAAACTAATGGAGGTGGCTAGCAGAAGGACTGAGGCGTGATAGGAAAAGCGGAACGACGTTGCTGATAGGGTCGCAGAGGTCAACCGTAATCAGAGTGAGGGGGCTGAACGGTCATTCATTGTCCCTGGGTGCGTGGCTTAAGTGCGGATCTCTGTGGTGAGGACTCTGCGTGTTGCGTTGTTGTTGTTGTTGCTGTTGTTGTTGCTGTTGTTGCTATTATTGCTGTTGCTGTTGCTGTTGTTGTTGTAGTTTGTTGCTGTTGCTGGTGTTGTTGTTGCTTTTGTTGTTGTGTTTGTTGTCGTCGTCCCCCCCGCGACCCAGCCCGCGATCCACCCGCGACCCACCCCGCGACCCACCCACGACCCACCCCGCGACCCGCTTGCGACCCACCCGCGACCCACCCGCAACCGGGCCCGCGACCCACCGTCGACCCACCCGCGACCCACTTGCGGTCGGCGCCTTCGGCGGGCTCGTTGTATAGCTTGAAAATTTGCGGCTGCGGCGGGCTTCTTCAGAGCCTCGCAGACTGCAAACGTCCCCGCCGCCCCCTCACTCTTATCCGCAACAGCGGGGTGCTACGGTAGGCTACATCTGGATGTAATCCGTTACGGGTAATCTGCGCGTCTGTCGGCGCGGCCCTGGGGGGTAGCAAGCGGCGTGTGCGGAGTGTGCCGATGTGGGCGCGGTCACGCATGCGAGTCCTGCCACTGGGGCATTTGGCGGAGCTCCCTGCGGCCACGAAACAGGTGAGGGGAGCGCGACAATAGGTGTGGTTACGCATGAGATCCCTGCCAATGGAGCCTTTAGTGGAGCTCCACTTGCGGGCCACGAGACGTGTGATGGGTGTGCCGACACGGGCGCGGTCACATGTGCGAGTCCTGTCACTGGGGTATTCGGTGGAGGCCCCCCTTGGAGCCACGAAACGAGCGAGATGTGTGCCGAACTGACGTGGAGAGGGCATGCAAACGCTGCAACTGGGGCCTCCGGTGGAGCTCCCTTTGGAGCCACGAAGCGCGTGAGGAGCGCGCCGAAATAGTCTGGAGAAGGCATGCAAACGCAACCACTGGGGCTTTCGGTGCAGCTCCCTGCGGGGCCACAAAACGTGTCGCATGATGGGGTGCGCCGAGCTTGTACGGAGGTATGCGAACGCAGCCACTGGGGCGGTGGAGCTCCCTGTGGGGCCAGGGGGCGTGCGAGGGGTACAACGAAAGTGCGTGGAGAAGGTATGCGAACGCAGCCACTGGGTCCTTCGGTGGAGCTCCCTATGGAAACACGAAGCGTGTGAAGGGTGCGCCGACATGTTGAGAAAATATGCGAGCGCGGCCGCCGGGGCCTTTGGTGGGGCTCCCTGAAGGGCCACGGAGCGTGTGAGGGGTGTTCCGAAGCAGAGACCAGCCACGGAATTCTGAGGCAGAGGGCGAGGAGGTAGGTGGCGGAGGATGAAGGAAGCGAGGACGGAAGGACGCGGGGTGGTGCGTACCCAAAACGAGACCCCAACTCAACACAAGATGATTGGGAATTATGCCCCCGAACGTTGCCCCTGAATTTCGCCATTGTCATTCCTCCTTCCACATTCTCTTCTTCCCCCTTCGTGAAGGGTCTGGGGATGAGGGAGTGCGCGGGCTGTGCTGCAACAGGCAGCAGACATTGCTTTATTCCGAGGCCCAGGAGGCCTCCAGCGAGGCCACAGAGAGCTCCTCACCCACACAGGTACCGACCAGAGCAGTGTTTTTCTGTCGTTTCCGTTTTGCCCTCACTTTCCAGCGATTTGTCTTCAAGCCGCCTTTTTGCCGCACGACGCGGTCGAAACGAACACGGCCCACGAAATCGTCAAAACACCGTGCAAGTCGAGCGACGAGCCCCGTCTCAAAAGGCCATCATTGGGCTTCTGAGAAGCCTCGACGCCTTCCGATCGGCGGCGACGACAGGGGCGGATCGCCCCCGGGCGGGCGTCACACGCGGCCCGCCGGGGAGCCTCGCCCGAGGCATGCGCCACAGGCGGCCCTGGACACATGCAGTGCCAAACGTCGCCCCCGATCCCGAGAAGCCCCTGCCCGGTCCCCTCTCCTTCCGCTTCCCTCCCGCGCGCCGAGGGCCCCCCCCCTTCCCTTCCCTCTCCCGGCGCGCCGAGGGGCATGAGACGCGGGCCAGGCACACGCCCGGCAGCGCCCGAGAAGGCCGCTCGCTCGACCGCCAGAGGCCCCTCAGGCACTCGGGCAGCTCCCCACCCCACAGGGAAAGGAGGAGGAGGAGGAGGAGGAGGAGGAGGAGGAGGAGGAGGGAGGAGGAGTAGGAGGAGGAGGAGGAGGAGGAGGAGGAGGACGAGGAGGAGGAGTGAGGGGAGGAGGGGGGAGGGAGGAGGGAGGAGGAACCAATCTCCGCCGCCTCGGCCTCCGCACTTTTGCCCAGGCGCGCAGAACGCAACTCTCCGACGCGGCTGGCGATCACCAGCGCGGCGAGGGCCGGAGGAGGGGGGGGGGGGGCGGCCTGCTGCCGAAGCACTTGCAGGCCCTCGCCGAAGCCCTGGGCGCAGAGGTCCCCGAAGTGGCGGCTGCGCTGAGAGCGTGGTGCACGGGGCCAGCCGTGCACCTCTGGCGGGGGCAGACGGGCGCTTCGAGGAAGTGGTCAGCTGGCGAAGCTTCGACCAAGGGGGGCGCTTTGTCCCCCGCTGGGTTCGCGGCTGGGCAGCGGGGAGCGCCAGAGCAGCTCCTGCGCGACGGCGAGCTGCAGCAGCTGGGCGCCGAAGCCCGGCCCTCCTCCGACCCAGACGACGCCTACTTGGCAGTGAATGCCGACCTGGGGGCTCGCACTCTGCAGGCGCTGGCGAAAGCCCTCGCGCCGCTGGGGCTCGAGCTGAACACGCGCAAGACTTCGGTGTGGTCCCCGCGCGGGATCCAGGCGGTTCAGGCGGAACTCGCGGCCCACTTCGTGCCCAAACTGCCGGTACTGGGAGCCCACCTGCGCTTGCCAGGGGACCCGCAGACGGACGCCGGGGCACCGCTGCTTATCGGCGGGGGCAACTGCGGCCTGGACAGCCCCAGGGAGCGCCTGGAGCAGCTCTGGGGCCGCCTGCGGCAGCTGCAGCAAGGGGGGCTCTCGAGACAGGCCGCGGCCGCGCTGCTGCGGACCTGCGCTGGCAACGCGAGCCAACACAACCTGCAGCTCGCGCTGGCGACGGACGACGAGACGCACCGCTACGACGCCGCGCTGCGCGCCTGCCGGGAGGACCTGGCGGAGCGGACGCTCGGGCTCGAGGCTTGCGACTTGCTGGGTTTGCCGGCGAAGCTGGGCGACGCGGGGGCCTGGTGGGCGGCGACGCGCCGAGCGGCCGCTTTCTGGGCGGTTTGGGCGCAGGAGGCAGACGAGGCGCAACGCGGCCTCGGCGCCGCCTCTCTCGCAGACGCTCGCGAGACGCTACCGCAGACCCGCGCGAAGCTCGAGGAAACGCGCGCCGAGCTGGCGCGCCAAGGCGCCGAGCCCTCTCCAGGGGCCACGCTGGCCGCAGCGCTCCGCGAGGAGACGCGACAGAAAGTGGTCGTTGCGATTTTTCACAAGACAACGAACGCTGCTACCAAGCAGCGGGTAGATCTTCGCAACCAGGCCACTCTGCCGTCGGCCAGCGGACCTGGGGCGGGCAGGTTTCTGCAATACCCGACGGAGCCGCTCTGCACTTTGGAGGACGTGGACTGGAGCACCTCCCTCCGCCGCCGCTGGCACCTGCCGCGGCCGCAATGCTCGCGCGGGGGCCTGGCGCGGGTTTCCGCGACTTGCTGCAACCAAACAGCGGGCGGCGCCACCTGCTCGGCCCGCTTGAACGACGACGGCTACCACGCCTGCACATGCCAGTCTGCACATGGCGGCGGTGTTGTGCGACGCTACGGTCGCGACCTGGCGAAAGCGCTGGGAAGCTTGGCGCGGAGGTGGCGGCACTGCTCGCCCCAGCGAAACCCTGAGTGGGACAGGCACCGCGCGCGGCGGCCAACGAAAGGACCATGCCCGCCGGTCCTGGAACGGGCCATACTGGACCTCCACAACGCGGAGGCGGACGGCCCCTTGTGGGTGGACGTCACTGTCCGCCAACCAGCGGCGGGCGACGAAACGGCGCTCCAGGTCGCGGCGCGACGGCCGGCTGAGGCCACGCGCAGGGCCGAGCGCGAAAAACACGAGAGGTATCGAGGCGAGCGCATGACTGCGTTCGCCCTGGGGTCCTCGGGCCGCTTGGGCACCGAGGCGCGGAAGGGGCTCCTCGCGCAGGTGGGCGAGCTCCCGGAAGACACGCAACCGGGGGAGTTCGCGCACGCCTACAAAGCGCTCAACTGCGCGCTGCAGCGCCAAGTGGCGCGCCGGCTCAGGCGCGCCGCCGGGCTGAGCTGCACTCTGGGTTCGGGGGCGCCACTGCAAGGCTGACCAGCACGCAACACGAGGAGCAGGACGGCCTGCGCGCAGCGCCCTGGGAGCCGCTGACTGGGTGCGGCGGCCGCGGACAGCTCTGGGCAGTGACGGCCAAGGCTCGCCTCCGAGGCGCCGGACGGCGGCGGGGCGGCTGCAGGAGCTGGCGCCAACGCGCTGCTGCTGGCCAGGCGCCGCGGCGCGTCTGGGCGGCAGCTGGTTGCTGACTCCGGCTTCTTGCCCCCGCTGCGGGCCGTTGCTCGCTGCTCGCGGCGCTCCGCACCATCGCAGCGCTCCGCACCATACACGGGAACGCCAAGTTGGCGTTCCCGTGTATCGGAATGTATGCGTCCCGGCGGGCGCACCCCCTCGGCTCCAGGACCAGTCACCGCTGAGCGGGGCGCTGGTTCTGGGGTTGGGGGGTTGCGCCCGCTCCCGATCAAAATGCTCGGGCGCCCGGACAGACGCGTTCGCCGCTCGGAGGAGCAGGGGAAGGATGGAGGCAGGACGGAAGAGGGGGGACGAGGGGGAAGGGAGGAGGAGGCGGGAGATGAACAGGAGGGGCAGGAGGACGACGAGGACGAAGAGGGCCAGGGCCACCCCTGGCAGGACCCGAGAGGGCGGGGAGAGCCGCGCGGGAGGCGCGGCGGCGCCGGCCTGGCGCCTCCTGCGGGCGCTGGGCGGCCAGCTCGGCGTCCAGCGCCTGCCGGAACATGCCTGGAGCCGCACCACCGCTCCCCATCGCTCGGACGTCCATTCCCCGTGCATATGTCGGCTTCGTGTGTGCAGTGGGGCCTTCCGCCTGCGGCGGCAGCATGGCGGCCGCGCGCGGCCGCCAAGCAAGCAGAGGTGCCTCGCACGAGGCGGCCAGCACAGCTCGACCCTGGCGACAGTGGCCACAGAGCAAGGCGACCAGAGGCCATGCCGGCAGGGGTCGAGGGGTCCAGAAGGCGCCCGAGATGCCCTCTTCTTCCCTCGCATCTTTCTGGCAAGATGACCAAAAAAGGCTCCTCGACGGTCCTCGCCGAGAAAAATAGCACACGTCTGAGCAATGCCAACACCGGGGCGCGTTCGCGCAGAGGGCGGCGATTTCCTCGAAGGCCCCCGAGGCAGAACGTAACCACTTGCGACTTCAGGCCGACCTTTGCGCCACGCGCGGACTCCTCGCGCTGTCTGATCCTATCTGCTGAGGCCGTCATTCCAGATGTCGGAATGAGGCCAATGCGCGAGGGGCGAGGGTAGAGGAAGAAAAACAACTGCATAAGCATAGACGTCTGGGGTTCCGAGAGTTTGTGTGTTGTGCGACTGGTACTCTCTCGAGCACAAGCACCCTTCCGCCACACCTCGGCAACAGTCGGTCGGGCTGGGCCCATCGCTCCAGCTCGATAGTGGGATGATGCGGGTCTCCCATCATGGATCTCGGAGTAGGGGGGACTGAGGCGGAGCGAATTACGGCTTGATTGTTTGCTCGTCCTGCATCGGCGCCTGACCGAAAAACTAGCTACTCGGGGGCACCGGACAGCCCAGGGACAAAAAACAGAGATGGCGATGAGGGGAGGAACAAAGATGAGGCTGACCGATCGGGATATCAAAGCATGGAAGGGGGCCATGTCTTCTTGGATTGGTTTGATATGTTTGGGAATCGAACGTCGGCTGGCACTGATGTATCCGCTGGCTGTCGAAAGCGGCTTGTGTAGAAGAGGCATGGGATTTACCTCGGCCAAGGTACAAAAGGTGCACCTGGGGCGCCGACGGAACGCCGGAAGAACGAACATTGGCCCGACAACGTGACACCGCCGCAAGAACGGGAAGCATCTGGAATAAATAAAATGATGAAGCAGCAATGAAAACACATAGCGGAAAAGCTGACGGATGACCTGCAGGGAATCACAAACTCAAACCAACAACAACAACAAGGCATCGAACGGTAGCAAGATAGAACCGACATATCGCAATAACTTACTCCACCGACCAACAAAGGCCGAAAGTCGCACACCGACCAACAACACAAAGGATGGCACACTATACACGAAAAGACATCTCATTATAACGCGGCCGCCGCGAATTTCGAAGTGAACCCGACTGAAGACACTACCGTCCCTGCGCTTACGAGACACCACTATGCATGAGTGAATTCCCGTGTGGATTGAATGCGGGGGTTTCCCCACACGCAGGAGGCTTTCACCCTTACCAATTCAGCGTGAACTAATCGCCAAATGAAGACTGGGAACAACACTGAATGTTAAGCGAAGGTTGTTCTCTTCTGAAGGAAGGCTCCTTGAACCCTCCTTTCCTTCCCTTCGTTATTTTCTCGACCTCCCTCCACCTCCCTCTATCCTGTCGTTCTGCTGTTGAGGTTTGGACTTGAGGTCGGTGTTTCGAACCCTGGCATGCTGCTGAAGCTCCTCTTCCACCTCTTCATCATCCTCCTCCTCCTCCTCCTCCGATCTCCCCCGGCTCTTCCGCTCCTCCTCCTCCTGATCGCGTCTCTCATCTCCCCCTCCCGATCGCGTCTCCCATTTCCTCCTCCGCCTCCTCCTTCTCCTCGTCCTCGTCGTCCTCCTCTTCCTCCTCCCCCTGCAAGCGCCAGAACAAGTCGAGACACCTGCGCGCACCCACACCCTCGGAACACGATGTGCGCCGACAGGACCCAGAACAACTCCACGACGAACTGGTATTTGACCCTCAACCCCCCCTCGCAGCCTGGCTAGCCCGCCGCGGGGCCCGCAGCTGGACCGCCAGGTCGGCTCCGTCGCGGTCCGCGCCCTGCGCAATCCGCCGCTGGCGGGCAAGGGGCTTCGTGGAGGGCCACGCTCAGCTCCCGGCCCCAGCGGGTGACCAGGCCGCTCGCGGCGGCCGGCGCGGCCTCCTCGCCAAAGCATGTCCGCGTCGCCTCGCGCCAGGTCGCGAGCGCCAGCGGCTCGGTCCATGCCCCACGGGGCACGGCTGGCGGGGTAACGCCGACTTTTGTCGGCCTGCGCCGCGGCGTTGACCGCGCCGTCGCGCCCAGCCGCGGCTGCCAGCGCACCGCCCATCACTAGGCACGCTGAAGCGCGCGGTGACGTCGAAGTACAGGCGGGGACAATCCGCCCGCTGCACTTCGAGGTCGGGGATGGTTTTGTGTTACTCTCTCTCTCTCTCTCTATCTCTCCCTCCCTGTCTTTCTCTCTCTCTCTCTGTCTCTCTCTCTCTCTCTCTCCCTCTATATATATATGTATATCCCTCTCTCTCCTTCTCTCCCTCTCTGTGCAGCGCGGCCCCGCAGCAGCTGCATGTGCCCACCGGTCTGTCCTGCGCCTGCCCACGCGTCGCCGCCCCCGCAGCGCTGGCACCAGCGCTCCCACGAAGGGACGTGCGCTTGCTGCCCCACGCGGAAGCCGCACTCCGCATGGATGCGGTCCCAGACGCGCTCGAGGTCGCCGCGCTGCGCGCCTGGATGACGCCGCCACCGCGGGGGCAGCGCCAAGCGTGGCGGGCCTGGTTCCCGATAGGCTCGCCGCAGCGCTGCCCCGCGCGCTCCCCCGTCCGCGAGGCGCTGCAACGGGCCGCCCCCGAGGGAGCCGCGGCCTGGCCGAGCAGCGCCTGCGCGGTGCTGCAGCGGACGGCGACGTGGAGCCGCTGGGGGCTCCAGGCCCAGAGAAGCAGCCTGCCAGGCACGGGCGTGCGGCCTGCCGCAGGGGCGGCAGAGCGCCTTTGCCTTTGCCTCTGTCTCCAGCGCCCCCAGCGGAGGATCGAAGCGCTTTTTGCCGACTCCTGCTGCGGGGGGGGGGGCTCGCTGAAGCTTTGGCCAGGGCGCCTCCGCCAGCGTCGGCCAGTCAAGCTGGGCGAGTCTGGCCAGCGCGCCCGCCTCGGCAGTCCTAGGCCGCCGGCGCGAGCTGCTACTGGCTGCGAAAGCCGCGCCCGCCGCGTTTCGGCGACTCGGGGCCCTCTTGGACCGTTTTGGGGGCTTCTTGGGGCCCTCTTGGCCCGTCTTGGGACCTTCCTGGGCCCGAAGTAAGCACGCGACGAGATGCGGAGGAGCCCAGGGGGCACGCGGGAAGCCCCGGGAGACACGCGCCAAGCCCCGAGAAAGTTTTGAGAATTTGGGAGCCGGGCCCCTAAGAGACTCCTCGTGAGTGAGAATTGAGGCTTCACGGATTAGCCAAAGGACCTGTGGACACGCCCACTCCGTGCCCAGAGGCACGCCGGCGGATAAATTGGAAGAAGGGCATGAATCGGACCCTTGTGAAAAACACAAGACGGAATTCAGATCCACAACGTGCGAAATCCGATCCGCGTAGAGGGAAGTCGGCTCCACTGAAACACATATCCACTCGTAGACGGCCAGGAGCCCGTTTTTGCAGGCCCCCGCGGCAGCCTCCGAGCATCTGCTACCTCCGCCTCCTCATCCTCCCTCCTTCTCGTCATGAACTGTTCGTTCTCCCCCTCTCCTCATCATTGTCCTTCTCATTCATTATACTCCTACTTCTCATTCCAGATCCTCTTCCTTTCAGGTCCTTCTCGTCCTCTTCCTCCAGAGGACGACGACGGCGACATGGACGAAGAGGATGAGAGGGAAGAGGAGAGGACATAAAACGAGGAAGGGGGAAGGATTACAAGAATGAGGGGCAACTGTACGGAGGACTGGCTCAGGGGGAGAAACACCGATCTGAAATCGGCGACACATCGCCGATCGGTCGGCGATTGGGCCCCCCCAAAGCGAAACCGCACGACTGGCGGGGTTGGTTATCAGCCCCCGATCGGCGATGCATGGGCGACCGAAGGGTGATACGTCCCCCGATGATCCTCAGCACGTGTGCTGGCGCCGACGTGTGCTTGTCCACCGAAGCGATTCCATACGGCGCAACGGCGGCGCAACGAGGGCCGACACAGGCTGCGCGCTTTCGGCGGAGCCGACCGAAGCAAGTACACGCTTGGGCTGACACACGTCCTGAGCAGGGATCGAGCTAAATAGTGTTTTTCTTGTTCGCTTTGGTTTCGTGTTCCTTCGCTATGCTTTGTTTGTTTTCTGCCTCTGCTGCGAAACGGAATCTAAACGAAAACCGTCCACGAGATCAGTCACCAAAACAACGTTTAGCTCGAGCCCTGGTTCTGAGGATCGTCGAGTTCCCTCCTGCGTCATCCACCCCCTGAAGGCTGTCCCTGGTAAGGAGGACGACCTCGACCACTCGGCCCTCCCAGACGCAGCCGCGAGGCCCGCGCGGAGGGTCGGCTGGGAAACGGCGGCCGTCTGGCATGGTCTGCACGATCCGCTCGACCTCTGGCACGCTCTCGATATGTATGAAGGTGTTCCGCACCTCGGGGATCCTCCTCCTCCTCCTCCTCCTCCTTCCTCCTCCTCCTTCTGATCCTCCAAAGACGAAGCCAAGCCGAAGACAAAATCGGACTGGGATAAGTCCGGGATCTCTGAGATCTGGCGGTTCTGAACTATGTATCGGGCACCGCGACCGTCCCAGAGCGCGCTGGAACGCTCTGAGAACGTCCTGGAACGCTCTGGAACTATTTTTTCCTGGTCCTAGCCCCGCCTGGTCTCCTCCCCCTCCTCCCCCTCCTCCTCCTCCTCCTCCTCCTCCTCCTCCTCCTCCTCCTCCTCATCCTCTAAGGGGGGTCGCGTCGCCACGGCTGGACTCGCCGCGAGGTCCTCCCAAGACGCGCTCCAGAACAGGTCCGGAGGATGCTCACTCGGGCCAGCAGCGGGCCCGAAGGGCCGAGGCCAGCAGCGGGCCAGAAGGGCATTGCTACGGACGGCGGCGATGACGCCGCCGCCGCCGTCGCCGTCGCCCCCCCCCCCCCCGGCGCGGGCGGGGCGCGCGACGT